ATATATATATATATATATATATTTTGTTTCTTTACCTTAACTCTCATTAGTTACAAATAACTTTTTATAAACAATTTCTGCGATAATTTAAATAACTATTCATCACATTTGAAGTTTAGTAGTCCGTAACCTTCGTCAAAAATTACGAGTGGCTCAAGGCGCATAGCCGGTCTTCATACGCTAGAGGTAGCGCCACGCTCTAGACGACCGGGGCGTGACCTCTGACCTCCAGAGCCTTTTGAAAGCGGCTTAATTTCGTTGTAATGCGCACCTGCAATAATACCCTTTATACCCATGTTGCCGCCGCCAGCAGCTGCAGCGGCGCCGGCGTCTTTCATCCATGGGCGAAGAAAAGGATTTCGAAACTGTAGATTTCTGTTATCCATAGTGTTATAATATAAGTGCACTTTCTACTGCCTACGAAAACCACACGTCAGGAAGTAAATCTAAAACTTATTTTAAAAAATTGAAGAGCATACCACACTAAACTTGTAAGTGCACCCCCTTGGTTTGGCTAAAACCACTACAAATAAAAATCACAGACAAAATTCTCACGATGCGTCTTAAAATGCTCATGCAAAATACAAGAGGTGTGGCATTCATATGAAACGTACAATGCAATGGGTACAAAAGGGGAACCAGCCCTTTCCACTAACGCAACCCGCAACACATCACTCAAATAAAAACTGCAACTATCATCTTTCTACTTCGTTCACGGCAATGTCACGCACCCTTCCACCACACTCCTACACGAGAGCCACGGAGTGCGCGTGCGTATTAAGCATTCGGCAATTGTAGCCAATCATTGCGTCTACGCCATCAAGAGTTCGCGTTATCACGCAGTCAGTTCTGCCACCGCCCCCAACTGTCATTTTCTTTCCAAAGCAACTTAGCTTTCACAAATTGCTATTCCATAACTTGCGTTGTCCTGCGATGAAGAGGTTTTTCCTGAAACATAAATTCCATTCCGGCGTGAAACGATTGTCACCAATGCATGACATCAACCTTGAAGAGGTGACCTTAATGATCGAGGCTTAGGTTGGGAATGCTATGAGGCGGCAAACTTAAAGTTCGACTAGCTTGGATTTTCAACAAGTTAATTTTACAAACAGGTTTACAATGCTTATTCATGTATAATGTGTCATGTATGACGTACGATGTAAACATAAATGTTGTATCTATAGTAACAAATCCCATATCTAGAGTTCAATGACTATTTCCTTTATTGGGCCTGGAATTCGTTATCTCTCACACAATTTCTTTGGCAAACAGTATGAGAAACATTTAGTCAATACATTGGTAAGTAAATACCGAATAAATTCTCGAGGGAAATGAAAGGTTACAAACACACTTCATTCTGAAATTTTGTTTAACATTTTCATATTTTCTCGAGAAAAATAAGTTAAAATGGTAGAAAATATAGAGTTATTTTGGAGGTACAAAAACTACTAATGTTGATACAATCTTTGTTCAAATTATCTAAATTATGACAAAAATCAGTAAACAGTAGCTTATTTCAATTATTAATCCTATGTAATCTACAGAACTCAACTTAAAAATATAGACCTATCGTAAAAGAACAACAGCACAAATAGAACTTTTATTTCAATGCTAACACAACCTTACTAGCAAACAAGTATTCACACACAACTGAATGACATGAAGTAACAAACTCATCACTAATTTTGATTAAATAATTTTAATTATATTTAATTCAACATCTTCTGTTTATGTGTTGTTTTAATATTACATTCTAGAAAATACAACAGATGTTGGGTTAAATATCCAAGCCACTTTAACAAAACAAGTCATTCAATCATACTGAAAGTTTTTTTGAAGGCTTGTCTAAAATCAAAAGCACCAATATCATTTCTGCCAATAAATTCTAAGTATCTTTACAAGAAAATAAGTTAAATCAACAGCTTCAATGCCCAAGAGGCATACTTTTTTTTATTTTTTATTTGTAGTTATTACAAACTATATATTAAATTGACTTATCATTACCTTCATGTTCATAATATAGTAAAATGAAGATCAAGAATTAATTCATTCAAAAACTTACTCAATTTTTCTTTTGATTGAGATGACCTACCTTAGTACAATTTTTTATTTTAATTTCACAACTTCTTTCGGTTCATTTTCTGCATATCACAGTTGATTCTCCAAGATGTTTGTTCATTTGTCAACAAAACAGTTAAGAATAATTAGTAACACCCAGGATTAATTTGAATTGGGTAAGGCAATATACACATATTTAACAATATTGTCCAATACTAAACTAAAAGGTAGCAAAAAATAACATTAAAAAATTGAAATATAATTTTGACTTATTTAGAAAAACTCATTTATTTTCAAGATCAAAGAATCATTTGGTATTTGTATAAAAAAGTTACAATGTCTAATACAGTGTCCTCTTACGTCTTTCATTGGTGTATTGACACAACAAACACTCTTTCCACAATTTTCCTTAACAGATCATATACACAAATATTTTGACAGACAAAATCCACTCACAGAAAAAAATTTAAATGGCTTTAAATTTAAAACAATGAATTGATAATATTACCCACATGATGATACACTCAAATACTCTATTTAAGAAAGAATACTAGTTCCGACAATTAAAGGGCGCCACAAACATATATTTTCTCTAAAATTAGAATATTCTTGGTGATTTTATACACTCTTCAAGACAAACAAATGAAGAAGCAATTGCATCTTGGAGAAGTATTTACAATTAACATTAAACATCTCTATACCACATCAGAGAATATCTGAAAAATTTACATTATATAGACATTCATTCTTTGGAACAAACAAAACATAACTAATCTAGCCATATGATGTTTAAGAAGCTTGTGATAAAAAAGATAAAAAATGATAGAGACTCTTCCACACACATTTTAACTATGATAATGATTCCTACAGTAACTTAACCACAAAAACATACTTAAATACACCCCTGCTCAAGAATTTGGTGAACAGCATTCCCTTTGGAAACTTTTGTCTTTTGGAGACAAACTGTCATTAAAAAATGGTAACTACAACGCCTTTCAACGATGTCAAGGAACATCAATGGGAATTTGGGATATCAAACTTAGAGAATTATTTATGTATACGATAAATCATTACACTCCAATTTACGAAAGTATGGGTATTGAAAGAATCAATTCTTTTCCCAAGAAGCAAGAATCACCTATCTTCTGAATACCCACAATTTATGATCTCTGGTGTTATCTTAACATAATGAGGTATGTATGTGTATTTAGATCACAATATTAGATTTCTTTGATACCAAAGTACTTTCACAAACATTTTTTCCATCTTACTGTATAATGCATCTGAGAATAAATAGCACAAAAACTTCTACAAAACTACTTCAGTATATTGCACTCGGCTTGAAACTATTTAACACTTTATAATTATAAAGATGCAAGTCTGAATTCAAGTGTATGTATTTATTAGTTGTCTAAGATTCCTCTGCAATACATGCCAAACAATAAATAGTTATCTAAGGTTATCTTTTGAAATTTTGTATAAATTCTATCAATTCTCACTTCCATGCAACAGACAATAAGATGTCCCATCCAAAGTAAATACAATCCAAAAAAATGATAGTGAAATAAAGTAATCATTAGGTCATGAAAATCATTTAATAATTACATTTAATTTTGTAGAAAACACCTATCTATTTTAAAGCAGACAACAAACATGATGAAAACATAAATACAAACTCATTTTGTTTAAATCAGTCATGATAACACTTGTTGGCAGCAATCGTAATAACTAACAACACAATGATAACCAAAAGAAACTTATTATCATTAACGGATTTGTAACATCATGGAGTTTTATCAAATTTACCATTCAAACGACAAAAAAACATTCATAATTCAAGGAATACTGCAATATTTTTTCTACTTTAGAAAATCCCAATTATGAACTATGTTAACATCTGTCCTGAAGAACGATAGAAAGTACAGTACAAAACTTCAGACAGAATTAATTTCTCTCATACTTTTTGTTAGTAGAGTTCTTTGCACCCTTTGAAATTCACACAGGTGACTGTGAAATACGCTTTGCGTATTTAAAGAAAACTGCTTCACATTTGAAGTATACTTTAATGTTTTCAATAAGTCTAACAAAATTAAGTTTCTTCACGAATACAGGCCAGTAGTAGTGTTTGCCAAACGCCGCATACGTCTGAAACAAGTACATTAATAAAATTCGTGTATTGCTATATGGTAATTTGTAATTGTTATAAGTGCATCTGATTTTGCTTATTTTATATTTGCATTTGTAAAGTACACGATTCCATAGACAGCGCCAATCTTCAATAAGTGAAATCACTGAAACTAGAATTCAACAATATTTCTCATAAAAGTTGTCGCAATTGTTTTTCTCTTCCTGCTTAAGAGTTATGGTGCAGTGTGCGACAGAAGGAGAAAAATTTTTAGAATACTATGCCCCAAAATAAATGGGATTTTAATGAATAACTTTTCTTCGATTTAGGCTTGATTTAATGTGCAGAAGAACCACATAATAAGGTACATAAGGGGAGACATTGCTGTCCTTTTGATGGCAACTCTTACAAGAGGGAAATGCTAGTAAGTTCATGTATCTTCACATAAAGAAATCTTACATTTTTAACTGTCCTTGACTTAACTCACAATATCAAGTTTCTCTGAAAATGGCATTAATTTCCTTTTCAGAACCATATCAATTGCAATCCTCAAAAAAACTCTCTCAATTAAGTCATCTTCGGTAAAAATGGAAAGTTTCATGAGACAATCAACACCAATGTCATGATGATGATGGAAAGCTCCACAGATAGCCAATAATGCTTTAAAATTATTAACCTTATGCCTTGTCTAGTACTGGACAGCTCACTATGTCCCCATTTGTCCTAACACAAGGGCATAAGGATGGATGAGCTCAGGGACCATAGCACCTTCCATAAAACAACATACAGAGAAAGAGGCTCAAAAATGTCATCTAATACACTTGACTAGCGTTATTTCTAGGAAGGCTACTTCCACAATCCAGAAGCAGCCCTTCTTAAACAGCTTTTGACAAGGATGACCAATGAATCATTCTGCTTGCTGAATACACGTATTTGCATGTGTGTATGTTGGGGGAATCATTTGGAACCAATATTCCGTCTAGTATAAGTGAGATTCTTACATGACTGAAGACAATGTCCATAATTTACATATTGGGACTCGGGACACAGCATATTGTCTCTTATAAGCGGGTTCACTTATATATGGATTCTTATATCTAATATACCATATCATGAGATGCAGAGTTGGTGGGTACAAACTAATACCAGATCAATGAAATTTTTCAACTTCTTTTCTCAGAAAGTGGATATCCTCTTTTGGACATCTCATTGCTGTGAACAACAGATGGTTATCATAAGAGATATGTAAACTCACCTAGTATTTCTGTCTTGGTCTCTAATTTTCTTTTCCATCTCTGCATCAGTCAGAGTTTCAAGGAAAGGTGCCCACTGGTCAGCTTCTGATGGAGGTCGGAAAGGAACTTCTACAGTAGGGAGAGGTGCCTCACTAAAAACAAGGAAGCATATCCAATTACTTTGTGACATTCATGCCACAGTCCCGTAAGGCCATTCCCAGGCACTCTGTTGCACAATCTAAGGTTGCATTACAATTATCACAACATCAACAGGAAATGATCAATATACAAATTTTGCCAGAAAAAACAAACAATTTAGCGTTTTGAAATCTGAAATACGAGTAGAACTACAGAAAATTAAAAGAGTCGGTACTTGCCTAAAAGCATATGTCCTTTGATGCCAACTCAATTGTCCACGGATGCTGTAAGCAATAGCAGTAACAAATTCTCCACCCAGGCCCAGTTCTGCACACAATTTCATGGCAAACTGCTCTGGATTGTTGTCTTTCTCACTCATGTCCCATTCCACTTGATCCACCAGAGATGTGTTTCCCACGTGAATATTCAACTACAAAGGTAATGAACCATTGTAAAAACATGTTCCCAACAATGTTAATATAATCTTTGGAGATTTGTAACTGATGGTGTATTTATCTTCCTGTAATGTTGAGCAATATGAAAGCAGCCACTTTCACCACACGTCTGTCAGGACTAAAGCTAGAAATCCAAAGGACAACCTAATTCTTAAGAAACACAAATTCAAATTATATTTTGCAAATTCTTGGAAAATATTGAATACAATTTTGAAATGCAAGAAATGAAAAATGTTGCAAGATATAGTTTTCATGAATTTTAAAACATGACAGGTTCATGTTATTTTCTAACATTACTCCTGTAATTAAATCAACATTTTGAAGTCCAAAACATTTTTATAATCCTGCAATAATATTAAAAACTACATTCATTAAGCAACAAGAATATTAAATAAGCCACTGCCAACCAAAGGCCCTAGTACCAAATATAAAATATAATAACTCAAACTTAAAAAATATTTTTTAAGACAGATTGTCTGAAGCTTTCGGTTGAAATATATAACCTGGACAACTGAAGGATTGGCAGTTCTGACTGACAATTTTAAACTGGCAGTTTTATAACGATTATGATGATTTTATAACCCAAAAATACCTGAGTTATACTCAACTTGCTTCCCGCAAACTATGGCCCCTTCCACATGGAACACTTACGCACATGAGGCGTGGCCTCTTTCTAGCTACACTTCCACTTGAAAGCATCACATAACTTCTTTCACTTGATCAACCTTATAGGTCACTTACACACAGCACACTTAAATCCTGTAGCAATCAAACTACGTTCTTGCGCCTATTCAATGACAGCCAAACACTACCTTTGGCGTTATGCGCAAAAAAACCCACATTTATTCTCACCATTGTAGCACACACTAGACACTCAAAGCTACAAATCACAAAGAATCTGAAGAACACAAGAAACTTAACTGTAAGACAGCAACATAGCCAACCACTTCGACAGCTATCCTGAGAGAAAATCAAATAGACCAAAACACGATTTACCTGTCATCACACAACATTCCGTAACAGAGTTTCAACAAGATATTAGGGTGAAATTTCTCCCACCCCTCATTTTTGATGTCACTTTCATCACCAATTACGAACCATTAAAATTATTTCAGGAGTGTATTTTTTTACAACGAATTTAAATCTCACTGTCTAAAACCGCCCATGCTTTGCTTTTAATATATATGTAATTAGTTATGCATATTGCTCACCACTCCTCCCCACCGAAAGATTCCCCTCATAATCCCCTAAACGCCCCTCATCCCCTCCACCATGGATTTCCCCTTCGCCGGAACGGTGCAAAGTGCTGGTTTAAAAGACTTCCTAGGTTGTACCACATACTACACTTCAGCCATTATTTGAAATCAACGTCAAACAATCATTTCAAGTTAACAGAAATTTTATATTTTCATCTTTTTGAGTGGTGTAGCTGTAGAAGTGGTTACCTATCTAACACAGATTCTAGCACTTTTCTGTTTCTTTGTGATTTGTGTTTTTGAGTGTGAAGTGTTTGTGCTGTGAAAATAAATCTGTTGTATGTGTATGAGTGAGATTTTTTTATCACATGCTGCCTAGAAAGAGGTATTTGGCTGACAAGTAGGCTCGCAACTATATATTAATTGTTACAGGATATACATGTCATGAGTGTAAAGGGCGTATGAGCTTGGCCAAGTGGAAGGAGTTACGTAATAATATTTAATGCATGTAAAAGAACTGTGATTGACAGAATGACATTGTGCAGGAAAGTGTGAGCAGAGAAACCATTGGAGGTGCAGTAGTGAAAGTGGAGACAGAAGAAAGGTTGTTATAGCATTTTTTAGCAAAACTAATGACATATTTGGAACTTAAAAGTAAATGTTTTAATTTGCCTCAGGGCACTTAAGCACGTTCCAAAGTCAAACAAATGTTTTAAAATATGCACCTTGATTATAACTCTCTGATCGCTGTTCTCTTCTATTATTGTATCAGTAGGAAAACCATCAATTTGTTGGCGAATGGCTTGGGCAATAGCAGGAACAAATGTCAAAGGATTGAGATCCAAATCATCACATAACACTTCTGCAAATTGCTCTGGTGTAATTAAGCTCTCTGAAAAGTAAAAAATAACAAGAACTGTCAAGAAAGGAAGGATTCTAGAAAACAACAACAACAACTAACAACTAAGTTGCTGAAAGGCAAATTGCTCACCATTCTTATTCCATGTGAAAGTGTCCCTTAACTTTTGTCCTTCTATTTCCATATCCAGTCGAATTGGTACTAGGACTTCCATTTGAGAAGCATTCTCAAGAATTGAAGCTGGATCAGTGTCATCAAAGCTACAAAATACATGTGGAGTTATATTTAAATATACATGATTTAAGAGTAAGATCTTTAGACTATAGAGTAAATTAATATATCAGATACATTGCACACAATGCAAGAATAGGAGTGTACTGAACTCTTCCAACAAGCTAGCAAATTAATAAATGCAAATGTTCATCTACGATTTTATATATATTTCCTAGTACACAATTAACTTGCACATGCTCAATAAATTACTCACCATAATGGGAATGTCCGGACCTTTTTGTTATTAACTCTGTTTCTATTGATAGCAGTTGCTTGCGGAACTGCATCAAGATGTGAACTATTGGGTAAAGATGGGACCCATGGCATACTCTTCTTTGATTTACTTTCTCTATAAGAAAAATCAGAAATATTTAATTTATAAACATTCATTCTTGTCATAACTATTTGCACAATAGAAAATTAGGATTGCTGAAACAAAAAGCCAACGTGCAGCCTATTCCATATTTCAAGATATTGACTGTATACAAAAAAATCACTAATCTTCTCTCAACAATAAATTATTTTTCATAAAGAAGTTGCTTTGGTGGAGCAATAAATTGCATTTGGGTCTTTCTCAAAAACTCAGAATTTGTAATTAATTTAGATTATTAAAGAAAAAATTCTTAATTTTAAGTAATCTGGATACAAAATTCAAGAACACACATTCCTTTCAATTATCAGGTGCTAGTTTACTTGATTCAACAATACTTCAATTTTAAGGAAATACGAAAATCTGATTAGCTTACTACAAAAAACAATTGCTTTGCACAAAGATTTGTGATGTCTCGTCTCTGCTTGCTGAAGGTCCAATTAACCACAAATAACTGGAGAGGTCTGGAACCAGTTTTAAGTAAGAAAATTGGAGAAAATTCCTCTTTTCCTTCACAGATTCACAGCTCTTTCCAACTAAAAGATGCTTACCTTACCATCTCTAAATTGCAATGTAAACAAGCTTCAAAAAACCAAACTTCATGAAGACAAGTGACATACCTTGGGACTGGTGGTTCAGAAGAATGAACTGAAACTGCTTTATACTTTTCATCATTGCCTTCTATGATATCTTCTACTTCCGAAGCACGTAGTAAAGATACACTTGATGCCAAAACATGCTGACTTAGACCTGCAATAGAGAATTTTCATTCATTACGATACTATCAATAATAATAATAATAATAATAATAATAATAATAATAATAATAATAATAATAATAATAATAATAGTATGAAGAAGACAAGTCATGTATTCAAAACAAATTATAAAATATTCCTATGACCTATGCAACCTAATATTATAATTATTATTACTGGAAAAAGAAATGAAAATACGACACCTCACCCAATTCAACAAGTTTTTTTCTTTCTTCATTTGTTATACTCCTCCTGAACATGCCAGGATATTTCTTGTATAGGGACCCACGAAATAATCGTAGGTAGTTTCCCACCTAAAGAAGAAAGTATAGCAATAACCTGCGTTCATTTTTACACATATTTATATAAAAACGAACAATTTTTTGTCAATCGAAATCCACAGAGCTGAGAAGATATACATGAAGGAAGTATGATTGTGAATACATCTAATCGAAGTATGAAATATTACTATGGCAATCAAATCTTACCTCAGAACCAATACAGTAATATTCCCCATTTTCTTCGACTTGGAAACTTATTGGTTTGTCACCGTATGTTCTAATAGCCATATTTGACACTAATATGAGTTCGCTCTAATTACAAAATTAATAAATAGTTTCTCTGTCAACCGGCACCTCCAAGTATCTCTACAAATTCGCAGGGGCTTCCTCAGGCTTCCTCTTGCTTGCAGCTTGCTTGTTCGTGCTCTGCTTGCTTTTGCTCGCTTGGCTGCTGCCGCTGTTTGACCGGCTTGGATGGCTGAGATGTTTGGGATTTAGTTTTGTTTGGCAGCTGGCTACCCTGCAAGATGTAGTTAACGATAACTCACTATAGAGTGCAGCAGCAGACATTCACTTCATTAATACCTCGAGTCTTAAATTTGAATTATCATGGGTAAGTTTCGTAAATTCACAGATAGATAGATGAAAAAATTAAATATACTTTCTATTGCTAAAAATAAATATTTCTTCCTAGAAAAGTAATAATTTACGTACAAGTTTACTGAGATAGTGAAGGAATAGACACCTAATTTATTTCGCAAAGTATAATGTGGTACAAATGAAAGACTTTTTCCGTTTAAAATGATAAAATTTGAAAGCGCATGAAAATAAAAAATAATTTCTAGCATGTATGTTCATACGAATAAACTCTTTACTCATTTTATTTAAAACAATGCACGTTTTAAGCACAGCTATGATTGCAGGAAAATTATTTCCACAAATAATGGCGAATATGGTTCGAATTATTTTTACAAGAATTCCTGAAGCCAGCACACGAGATTAGCGTTTTCGTGACATTTCGAGATTTTACCTTTTAAGTAAAAACCTTTTGATTGGGATAAGTACTTATAAGAAAGGTTCTTACACTTATTATTTTAGTAAATGATTTATTGATCATGTAATGACAATGTCACCTACGTTAGGATCTAATGTAGTAGGAGGCGTTATATAAAAATAAATAACCACATAGATTTCAATTTCAATAATCTCTAAACAAAATCACATTAAATTCGCTTTAAATATTTCATTTTCATGCAATAAAATAATTGAAACAATGAAAAAGTAATTTTCGAAGTGTGTCTCATCTTTTTATGGCTTCAAGCCTTAATTAATACGAACAACTTATATAGTAACAAGAAGCCACACTTTTAACAAAGTCGAGATATCGACAATTACAAATAAGGAAGGTTGCTGTGGCTGATGTGACTTGTCTTGTTACAGCCAGAAGCTCTCTTCAGTTAATCCAAACTACACGTTCACGTTCAAATCATATTCGGAATAATTCTGTTCCAGAGACACAGTACAGTAAAACTGTCTAAACCGGAAGCTGTACAACCGGAAACCTACCTTAATCGGAAAATGTCTACGGCCGGTGAAGTTAAATGACATTTTACACTGAATAAAACGGAACCTATCCAACGAGGAAATATAACGGTTTTTCATGTCTTGCAGAGGGAAAAATCTTTATAAAACTCAATTTCTATAAATTTAATACAATTGACAGAGAGCCGCAAGATACGTATTCTTAATGAAATGAATGCATCTGAAAACTTATTCTAATATTGTAAATCTCTATCCCTGTGACATTGTGATTTAGTCGTGGGAGCCATTGAAGCAGAGAGGTTTCAGCTGTCAGCGTAGAATTTGACTTCGGGGTCACTTTTCTCTCAAGGCATAGGCCGTAAGGAAATTACTTCTCTCCCATCTCTCTGAGCGTGGGAAGGTGAATAGGCATGACTTCTATTCACGCGTTGAAAATCACAACCCCTCGACCAGATGCATTGCTCAAGGCCAGGCGAAGTTATCAGAAAGTAATAGTACCAGCTTGCCAGGAAGGTGTGCATTTTTCAACATAGAAGCCGTCAATGAAGTATTTAAGATTCATTTATTGGTGATTTCTTCCATGTATAAATTATATGTTTATGTTAATGTATTTTTATAATTATAATAAAGTCATGTAATTTACTACTTTTAGGGCAGAAACGTCAATATCACAAGTTTCATGAAATGGATTTTGCATAAAAGGAAACCTCCCTAAACCGGATTTTTTTGTGTTCCGATCAGCTTAGATATATTTTACTGTATTTCGTTGGTCACCCACTGATTCACACTTGACCAGTGGTGGATTTAAGGAAAAGGGTCTTGTCAGCAAAAGCACTTGAGTTGTGCCGGGCCTATTTTATAAATTTGTAATAGGCCTGTCATATCGATGCAGTGTCATAGTTTTTTGTACGAGAGTACTCTCTTTCTCTCTCGGGAAGTAATTCAATCGTGCTACATCAATCATATTCGTTAGCAGCGTTTCATTTATACAGGCTCGGATCCAAGGGGAGGAAAGAGAGGGAAATTCCCCTTCACCCTTAATTGTTTCAGTAACTATTAATATTAACTTGTCACGAAACGTTCAACCAAAAATATTTTCATATAATCATTAAAGCGAATAAAATCGTATCGCAGCATAAGCTGAGTGTAGACTGTGACATTTAAAAAAACCTCTATTTGACCCATTTAACCAAAACATTTTCAATTTCCCTTTCCAAAATTTGTCTCTGGATCCGCCCCTGATTTATTTAATGCTATCGAAAAGTTTTGATGATTTTAATGAACTCGTTCATATGCGGAGCTTGATGAAGTGGCTAGAATTATTAAAAAAATTATCTTAACAGACTACAACGTAATGTAAAACTGTCCATTGGATTTTTAAGATAAATGTCCGCATATCATTTTCGAAAACACGAAATAATTAATAAATCTACTATACTTCGATTCAGTAGAACTGCACTTGGCAAGTCATCAGCTGGTACGGTGTCATCCAACCGGGAGCTTACACATCACTACAGTGACGTCACTATGATGACGGTCAACCTCCCGATTTGATGACACCGCAACAGCTGATTTACGTCAGGGGCAGTTATGTTTAAATACATATATAAAAGGTAGGATCGGTAAGTACAAAAATTGAGAAATCTGTTGGGAGCAGTAGTGTATTGCAACGTCAGTGGTGGTGGTGCGCGTAGAGCGCCCACAGCACGTGCACCTTGCGCGCTATGAGCTGGTGCACGCGCGCGGCGAAGTCGTCGCTCTGCGCGGCGTCCATGGCGTGCACGCAGTTGGCCGCCGCCACCAGCACCCGCTCCACCTGCTGCACCGCGCTGCCGACCACACCAATCCTCATTTCGGGTCAGCCTAAGAATGAACGGATGTAAACAAGCTAACACAGTATTTATCTACGGCCAGGGCCGCCGAGAGAAAATTCGGGCTCCGGTACTAAGAAAGTAGAGAATGAGGGGTTCTTACAAAAAAAAATCTGCAGAAATGTGAAGTTCACACGAGATATATGTGCACTCGACGACTGTCGGAGCAAGTCTCTACAACATTGTCGCTTATAATTTATAAATTTTGCAAATTAATTCATATGCTCCGCCTGCCACCAGCGCAGTCTCGTATACATTACTCTGTCCTGCAATAACGATTTATCAGTCATGTATCTCGCTTGATGCAGTGCAGATCAAAATCGCGCCCGCACGAGGCACTTGCGCGCCTTCCCATGACTTCGCTCACATTTCCCTTCCAAATCCAGAAAGTAGTGTACACAAGCTGAAGATACGCAAGGTGGAGATTAGTGGCTTCATATGAAAATGTTAGCCAAATTCGTTCTTCCGAATAACTGATATTTTAATTATGTTTATATTATTTACGATTAATTATTTTATGTTTATTTTCATTTTAAATTCTGTCTTCTATATACACTTTCGCCGAGGAGTAAGGTACAACGAACTGCAATATACTGATATATTCGTTGGTCTCTACAGATACAGAGAAGCATGATCCAACCTCCACTTCGGAGCAATTTGTACAACCCTTGGTTTTAAATCTTGCGTCAGTTGCTGTGGATGCACAGTCCGCGACAATCAAACAATATTTTGTTCTCGGCACCACTCTTAACATATTCGTCTGTCGTCTTTCTCAATTTCTACTAACTTCATCCAAATATATCGGTACTGTTGTGCCGGACCTCAACCACCGTACGATTGGCAAAAGTGCAAAAATTGTTAATTGGTAAGAAATTTTCGTAAATACTTAAATATCGAAAATTTTCCATAAAAATATCATGTATTTATGAAACCTTTATTTGATATACGTATATTTAATTTCTCTATGCTTATTATCCGAGTATTATTCTGTGAGTGGACTCGTTTAAGTATGTGGGTAAGACAGTATGTGGGCAGTCAAGGAGTAGTCAAGTATAAGAAACATGTTCAATCTGCATTCATTTTTTTGAATTATCATTTTGCGATACATCAGAGAAATGGGAAGGATGATCAGTTATTTCGTCAGCTATCAAATCAAATGTTCATCTCAGTTGTCGATCCTGACAGATACAATCTAAATCCCGGATAGGCAAAGCTCAAGTATATACTCACATGGGTTCATGGCGAAGGTCTGGTCGGTCGTACTTGGTACTCGCAAAAAGTACCTGCAATATCTTCTTTCTTTCCTCTGATGGTTTCTTCCTCAACAGTTTGCACAACGTGTCAAAAGAGGTTTTGAGAGCATTTGGAAATTCTGAAGCATCCAATTTCTGGTTGGGTTTTTTTAAATGCTGTAAAACAATTGTCATGTCCACTAAATAGTTTAGCAAACACGTCGCTTCATGTCTGTTAAGTCGTTGCCACATAAATTCTATTACATCGTGCGGTTCCATGATATAATGGTTCACTTGGTTTTAAAAAGTCTCATGCATTATCGTTTTTTATGTTTTCGTGAATTGCGAATCCATTTCCTACAATCACGTAATGCTTGCAACATTCTACCGTTATGTTTTTATTTACTTTTCGTATTCTTATCAGTGAAATTTTGGAACATTATTATGAACTGCTATAATAATTACTGGTAGGATATGTTGGTTCGTCTAACACTTCCTTTCAGATGAGAAATTTGTTTCCATAGGATTATTGTTAGTATGCACGGTTTCTCGTTCAACATTCGAAAGCTTCTGTGTAATTACTGCTGCCATCCTAAGCTTAATAAATAGAGTATGCGTGAACACTTGATGCATGGTCATGGGAAGAGGACTCTCGTACATGGTGGTAAATTCAGATAAATAATATGTTGAAGTGTACAAATGCATGCAGCCCTAATTTTTGGAGGAAAACATTTTAAAACCTCTTACCTTAAATGTCACTTTTGTTTTATAGGGTTGGCAAGAAATTCATGAACAAAACAAACTCTTACGACTCTACACTTCGATTTATTTACAGAGTCCATTGACGTTTGATCAATGTTACGACATGATCCAATCAAGAACTTAAACGTCACTATTATAGGTGTCATCCAAGCTTTCAATTAGATACCGTAACAGCTGATTTACGTCAAAGGGATCTATGCTTAAATCGAAGTACATTCCGTATTCACTGGGTTGCGAGCAACGAGCCAAAATATATACTGACTCATTAATTTCAAGCAGAAATAACGCAAAACTACTTGTTTCTTTCAACAATCGTTCATAACCTTTTTTAATCTCTAATTTTGTATAATAGACTTAAGTCTGAGGCAAAAATCTCTAGCATCAATTTTGTAGTTTAAAAATGTTTCCTTTTAATTGAAAGAAAATGAGCAATACCCGAAAATATGACGACCCTAATTTTATCATCTCTGTTAAGTGATTTTTTTTTTAATTTGGGCAATTTTTGACATTTTTTGTTGTAAATTTCAATCACAAAATACATAAAAACTACTACTTTCAAAAATTTTGACATATTTTTGGAGAGCTAATTTTGTACAAGTGACTTTGAGACAAAAATCTATCTCCAATTTGGAAGTTTTAAATTTGTTTTCCAATTTTCAATAAGTTGGGGATGTCAATGAAAATGAAACCTGCACCATTCTCTTAAACACCTTTTGCTCTATTCTACAACACATTTAATCAATAAATTTGGAGACACTTTTTGAAAATGTCCCAGGAACTTCATGTAAAGTACATCCCACAATTAGAATATCGGTTTCTTATTCCAGGGTCTGCGGCATCAGCTACGACTGGGGAATACTAATTTTGGAGAAACTTGGCTGAACAGTTTATGTGCTAGCTTTGTGCACAGCCAGACACACAGAAAATTTTCAACGTCAATCGATTTTCCATATGAAGAACCTCAAAAAATGGATTCTGGCCATACCATATGTTAGAGGTTTTTTTTTCTATATTTAACAACTGGATTTTTCCACTTTTTCCTTACAGCGCAAAGCTCTAACATGTGGTGTAGCCAGAATCCATGTTTTAAGGGTCAAAGTAGAATTGATCTGTCAAGTTCTTTTGACAGGTCCTACTAATTGAAAATGTTTTATCTTCATTACTAGAATCAAGAACAACAGTAATACAAAACTGGTTTAAATGCAAAACCAGAAGGTAAAGGAGTTGTTGGAAGACCAAGAGGAACTTGAGAACAGAACAAGGACTTTTATTTCAATTCAGTATTTTCAGTATATTAATTTTTCTATGTTCCCTTTGTGAATCATACAATTAAAGAATCATTATGCAAAGTACATTATCATTATTATTATTTTATTTTGAGAGTATTGTCATATTGTATGTACAATTATTACAATGATTCAACTGCAAGTAGATTCATTGGTACAGCAAATTTGGTACAGCAAATCACAATAAAGACTTAGTAGTGTTTCTACAACCTTCACTTCTTTCCTTCTCACTCACTTTTTCTTTCCTTGGTTAGCAACTTCTTCCATAGCTTTCTTCACAGTTTCCTCATCACCCAAAAATCGCATTGGTGCAACAGGATGCATACAAGCATCTAGTTCATATACAAATGGGATGCCTGTCGGTAAATTTAGACCCATAATTTCTTCATCTGACATTCCTGCAGAATAGGCAAATTTGATTAGAGAAATTGGATAAGTTTACAGAAAACTTAATCTACTAATATTCAATATAACAGAAAGTGAAAGACATTTTCAAGAAAATACTTTTAGTTCATGCAGGATAGTTAGTCTGCATCATCAATACATGCTACACCCAATTTAACCATACAATGAAAACAAGAAATGAAATTGTGAGTATGGAGATACTACAGTTTTCAGTTGAGCATTTTATGTACTCATATGTACTTATAGTTTTCATAGCATAGTTGTGGAGTGCGAATGGAATAAATGTGCCTTGGTAAAATAAACTCAATTTGTGTATAAATGAAATTTTCAAAGCAAAATATTCAGACCATTTAAGGTTAGGCATATTGTTAAAGAAACAAGTTATGAAAATAATATATTTTTAAAAAAGAAATAGAAGAAAAATTATTTTTAAAAACAATGAACAAACAAACTGTATTTAAGAATTATAAAACCATAAATCAAGAAGGTAAGGCAAGTAAGTTCTGCAAGAGACATAGATTTATCATAATTAATTTGCTGGCATTTAATGTGGTCATGTATAATACCCAACAGAGATTTAATTTCAGAGTAATAATCATGAGGACAGAGAACAATCTGAATTGAGGTGTTGAAAAATTGAACAAATAAAACCAAATAATTCTGTACAGGAAAATCCAATAGGATAGCCAAATGCAGTTTGTTCAAAATTACTTAAAATTAGGAATAGTTGGCTTTTGAGTTTAAACTTCAAACAATTTATTACTTTTTTAACTTTACTTGCAAGAGCCAAGTCCCAGGGTTTCTTCAACTTAAAAACACAACACAATCCAATACTTACTATCCAAATGTTTTACAATTCCTCTTAAACTGTTCCCATGTGCAGCAATAATAACAGTTTTCCCGGCCAACAAGTCTGGGATTATATGCTCTTTCCAATAAGGAAGAGTACGATCAATAGTTAGTTTCAGGGATTCAAACATAGGGAATTCTTCTTTTGAAGGACCATCGGCATATCGGGGGTCATTCACGATTTCATTGTAGTACGGATGATCAGGTTCCATGGGTGGAGGTGGAACATCAAAACTTCTTCGCCAAATTTTAACCTGTACCCATAAGAAACATTAGAACTACCTAAAATTAAAATAGAAAACACAAAATTTGAGGAAAAAATAAAATAAAACAACTGTTTAAAAAAATCTTTGGCAAAGTAGCTTCAGCAAGTTAACTTTCACTGGGCGGTCCTGATGATTGAGCAACTTGCCCTACATTCTCACTTAAGGCGGCCCCTAAACAGTTACACAAAACGTATTTCATTTAATACATTTTTGAAAAAAAAAATTAACAGTAGTGGAAATATGATTCTATTCAAAATTTGTTAATAATTATTTTAATAATATGGGAAACATTTTATTCTTAATTTTTAAAGGGGCCCCCATGGCTCCAGGCCTCTTGTTTTCTGTGTGTGCCCCTTAACAGGGGCAAAAATATCTCTCAATTGTGATATGTAAATTCATTTCCATTAATTTTCAGTATATTTACACAACCCTGATGCAACACTGACCTTTTCTAACCAACGATTGCTATATTAAGGTCTTTATAATAGGAGTTTATCATATGACTTGGTTCAAAATATGTAGGGAAGGTATCAAATGCCAATATTTCAAGTTGTAATTATTGATTTACTCACTTGTTCTTCTCCATATTTCTCAGCAGTTTCGGATTTGTTCATTCCAGTAAGGCCCCCATAATGTCTTTCATTTAGTCGCCAGGTCTTCTTTACTTCCAAATCTGGCTTACCAATTCCTTGAAGTATACTTTCCAGCGTCTTATTGGCACGTGTCAAAACCGAAGTATGAGCAACATCAATTGTAAGACCTGAATTTGCCAGAGCTTCAGCTGCTGCTTTAGCCTCTTGTTCACCTGCAATAAAAAAAATTAAATCTTAGGCAAAATTAGAACACAATGAAGAAAAACGATGTTTTAGCTATGCATACAAATTTGTGAATTAAATTGGCTAAGAATTGACCATAAACATTTTAAACGAAAGTAACCTCATTTTAGTTACCACACACCTTTTTCACTTAAAAGGGAATCGTACCACCCACAAAACAAATTCTGTTGATTCCATTCACTCTCTCCGTGCCTCACCATGATCAAAGTGTATTTTGCTGCCATTTTTATGGTATTATAGAGTTTCAGAATACTTGCAAATTTTCAGGGAGTCTGTCCGCCAAATGTCAGTCTATTCACCTTGGAAACAAACAAGGTCGTTTTATACATCATGTCTTGGATAAGGAATACCATGCTTCAGTGACCAATAAAATGGGCTTTCCAATTCTCCAACCAATCATGTTACAGACTATAACCTATCCACCACAAGTTTACACACATTTTCGTAATATTTTTGCAAGGCGGCAATACAAATCGCCGGACGACAGCACGAAGTAACTTCCTACAATAATAATGCAGAGTGCGTGCACGTGAGGAACAATCAGGACTGTGTATTATTATACATACACGTGATATATTAGGATAGGTGCAATGTAATCAGTTCCCGGGAGGGGGGTGGCGCCGCTCTGCTAAGGTCACAATGTTTTGTAATTTTACTCTTTCACTCAATTCATTGAAAATCATTGTGATAAAAATATCTCATCACATCCAAAGTAGTTTTCTCATTATTAATATATATGTTTCACATAAATACAGCATACGCCATGTATGACAAATCAGGATATGTATATAATTATACAATACACAAATTTCGCTGCAGTGTTCTTGCATTAAACGGCAAATTTTCGAAAAAAAAAAAAAAAAAAAAAAAAAAAAAAAAAAAAAAAAAAAAAAACCCCCAAAAACACTCTTACTGCTACGTAAATACGAACAAGGGCATATTTTGTTCCTGCTTTGTAGTAAATTTACTTCTAACACGTGTCGCCAGAATCCATTTATTGTGTATCCTTGATAACTGAAAAATCGATGTCACAACGCCTGAACATTCGTCCATCTGCGGTCAACGCTAGCGCCTACACGTTCAGTCGATTTTCTTAAAACAATAGATATTTCCCAATCGATTTAAATCAACTCGAGGCCCTCTGAGTAGGATATTTTGATTTGGGGAGCTACTTTTCACATGCCTCACATTTTCAAAACGTTCTAAAAAATGGGACCAAATTTGATTAAACTTTGTTCTCGGATCGCGTAAAGGGCATACAAAGGACGGTAAAAATCGGTGCTAGTCTCATTTCCAGCGAACTGTTTGTTTGAAAATTGTAGAATTTTAACATAAAAAATTATAAATTCGAAGATTTTTTGTTATAAACAATATGTTCTAAAAAAACAGCTCTTTCAAAAACAAGTAGTTTTGCATAATTTGTATTTTAATTTTGAAATTTATAAAAAAAAATCCTCAAAAACGGCTCGATTTTTTCTACATTTTTTCATATACAAAAACAATACAAATTTGAAACAAATTACCTGCAACAGTGCTGGAGGCTTTCCTTCAGAATGTCAACAAATTTTAAATTAGATTAAATAAATTGTAGAGATTAAATATAATTGAAGAAAAGGGAAGTAGAATGAAAAAGACAGTGCTATTTGTAGCTCAAATACATTAAGACATGTAGTATACAAAATTTTTCAGAATAGTTTTTTTTATTATTAAACTTTTTCAACTCTGACATTACATAATTCTATCTTGAACTCTGAGTAAAGATTACAGTCTGCATGAAAATTATTTAGTAAGAAATTATGAATGAAGTGTGCCAATTTTATATTAGAATTTATGAAATGTCTACAAAGTGCTCACTCCCTCATTGCTTTTGGTCATTACAGTAAGATTTTTTCTCATATAAGAAACAGATCCATTCAGAAGTCAAAGATAAACACTACTTTGAATACAAAATAAGACTAAAGACAGAACAACACATTCACAGAACACTTTCAAAAGCCAAACATCTCAACACTAAAAACAATATTCCTACAAATACCTTGCTAAGAGTAGGAACATGGAATTACTAACACACAAAGAAACTGAATTAAACTATGAACTGAAAAATAGGAACCTAGATATCACTGTCAACTCAGAAACAAAAAAAGACGAATAAAGGCACAAAAGAACTAGAAATTGAAATATATTCGGGAGTAGAGGAAGAAAAACATGTGGCAGCAGGAGTAGCTTTGATAATAAATAAAAAATGGAAAGGGAACATAGAAGAATACACCTGGATTTCTCCAATATTGGTTACAATGAAAATAAAAGTGAATCAACATAAATGTAATAGATGTATATGCACCAGTTGAAGGTCAGGTAGAAGAATCTAACTGTTTCTACCCAGAATTACAACAATTGGTAGACCAAATAATCCAAAAAAGTTTCTCATTCTCTCAGGAGATTTCAATGTTAGAGAAGGAGGAAAGGAAGTCCCCTTGCAAAGGGCTGGAGGGCGAAAAAACTCTTAATGAAAATGGGAAAACACTACTAAACTTTTGCTTATTCAATAACCTGATAATAACTAATAGTTTTTTCAAATACAAAGATTAACAAATATACTTGGGAAACAAGAGGTACAAAATCTATCCTAGACTATGTAATAGCAAAAACCTATTAAATTATGTGAAGAACGCAAAAGTATACAGAGACAGTGAGATAGACACAGACCACTCGTAGAAAGCAAAATTAATTTAAATGTACAATGCATAAAAAACAAGAAAAATAAGAATATTTCACCAGCTAAACTCAAGGTATACCTTCTAGAAGAAAAAGCATCAGAATACTATATGAAAGAAGATTAAGAGGGAAATTACAAAAGGTAGAAAAACAAAATATCGAAATATTTTGGACCTCACTTAAACAATGCTTGAAGCAGGACAAGAGAGTGTAGGTTACAAACCCTTCAAGAAAATAAAATGGTTGAGAACATGGGACAATGACTTGAAAGAAATAGTAAATCAAAAGAAACAAGAAAATAGATCTTACCTTCAGAAAAGAACAGTGAAACATTACATTGAATATAAAAAAAAAACTAAGAGCCAAAGTAATACATATAAGGAGAATAAACAGATGAGAAAACTGGACAAAATTTATTAAAAGTGTAGAAAGAGTCATCTCTGGCCCTCCACGAATGGGAAATTTTGAAAATGCTGCACATGAACATGAAAGACAAAATCACACTAGACTGCATCTTTGAAGAGAACAGGATAAAACACTACACCCTATGGAATAACCTAGATCCTAAAACAAACAAAGAGATAGAAGAAACAGATGACAATAGTGACGATGATGACATGAACACTCCCTAACATTACTAGAACTTTTTAATAAAGTACAGCAAGAGAGAACCATTAGAATGGCAAGAGAGTTTGGTCATGAATATTCTCAAAAAGGGCTCAAGGAAGAGCTACATTTGAGCTAGTTCGTGACAACTATAGGGGCATCAAACTATTATCAACAGCATCAAAACTTCATGCAAACATCAAGAACAGTGTGGGTTTTGAAAGGGAAGGAGCACGAAAGATGCCATCTTTACATTACAGATGATAACAGATTAAAGAAGAAACAGAAACTTTTATAACATTCATTGATTACGATAAGCATATGACAAAATATACACACAGAAACTGGAAGTATTGAAAGAGGAGAAAATTCCAAATTAAGAACTCAATGAGAATAAGAGTTTATATGAAAACTCCAACATTAAAATAATGTTAAGAGATGGGAGAAAGACTGCCACCATAACAGCAGCCTAAGACAGGGCTGCCTACTCTCATTCAACTTTTATATCAATCACTTAGTGAGAAATTGAAGAAAGAAAATTAAGAAGGGTATCCAAATCAAGAAAGACAAAAGTATAGATACAATATTATACACTGATAATCAAACAATCATAACAGATTCTGATTTTGAATTGACAAAAGAGGCCCAGAAATATTCTATGAAAATATCAGTTCAACAAAACAAAAGTTATGGCACTGCAAGGCAAAGTATAGAAGGGAGCCAAAATTGTAGTAAATGGAAACGAAATAGTCAACAAGAGAGACAAAAAAATACAAGCAGCACATATGAGATTTCTGAGAAACCTTGTAGAGTTAAAAGAAGGGACAGACTGAGAAACAAAGACATTAGAAAGAAACTAAAAACTATAGACTTAGAACAGGAAACACAAAACTCAAAGAAAATGGCAAGATCGCCTTAAAAGAATGAACAATAACAGATGGCCAAAACTAAATGGAAATATTAACCAGCAAGGAATAGAGATGTTGAAAGACCATGAAAGAAGTGGCAACTGCAGGAACACCTGCAAGACTATCAGGAATACTATGTAAATAAATCCTTTTAGTAGTATTTAGAAAAAAAATGTGACAAAATATAAAAAAAAAATGAATAAAGATATGATGTTTGAAAATGTGGTTGAAAGAATAAGATTAAAAAATTGATTTTGAGTATAGCTTTCTAATTGTTGTAATACATCAAATCTAATTTCAGTAAAATTGGAACGAAACAATTGTATCTAAAAGGCTGCTATAGGACTCATTCAATTTGTAATCAACTCTAGGTTCTGGAAAAATACGAAATTATATGAAAGTTTTTGTTTTATGATTCAAGAAACACACAAATATACACACATCACTTCAGCAGTAGTTGACTTATTTTTTGTTTCTTTATTCAGCAGATGAATCTTCTGTCAACCAATATTCTGTAAATCTGTGGTTGAAGCAGCAATTTTTACAGTGTAATGTGTAATAAAACATGTGGCTGTCATAGTAAGAATATTCATAATTCCAAATAGCAGATTATTAAAATCTGTTTAAAATAAAATTTGAGTGCTTGACTACAGCTTCAAAATAACTACTTTCTTTTATATCACTTTGTCACTTACGCAATGTAAATATCCCTTCAATTGTTTTCACAATTTTTGTCAGTCCATCTTCTTGTCTGTCTCTTGGTCTGAAATAATCTCGGGAATGGCTAAACCAATTTCAATTTGGTTTTCACAGAAAGATAAGAGTATTTTGTTGGATACAATTTATGCTTCTTTTCTTCAAATAATTATTGTCTATTATGTAAAGAAAAACGTTTTTATGTTTGATTTTTATTTAAATTTGCAAATTTATTCTGATTTTAAAGAAATTTAGTGCATATGTATCTAACCAAGAGAAAAGTTTCAGTCTTCATGAGATTTCGTAAAACTACCTCTATTTTCTATTCCAAAATCTTAAAACAAAATTTAAGTGCGTGCTCATTCAGTTTTTTCACAAATATCTGAAAAAAGGTAAGAAAATCAACCAATTTGACATTTCTAAAAGAAGATTAAATTTTCTACTAAACTGATTTTGGTATATTCTGGTAGTATAATTAGGCTCAGAGAAATTGGTCAAAATAGTTATTTAATGGTTGAGGGGAATACGCACCAAATGTATCTGTTTACAGTTTCCCATTGCAACATCGACCTTAAAAAACATGTCAGGGCTTGAAAGGATGTGGAATAGTGAGGTGTGGAAAGGCAGAGTGAAGAGGGCCAGTGTGGAACTGAGGACTGTGTGGGGGTGAAATGGGGCTTGTTGGGGAAGGTTTGTGGCAGGTTGGTGAAGAATTGAAGCAGAATGCAGAGCTGGGCAAAGCAGGGTACTTAACAAATATGATAATAAATTGTAGAGGCAAATCATGTAGTCAAACTATATAAAAGATACCATACAAAATTAATACATTCATATTTTTTTCTGAAAAGTATTTGTAATTTCAACATCTTTTTGGAACCATCTCTGATAATGTACATTTCCACATTACTGGGTCTATTTCAAAAAAACAAACATTGCCAATTAAATAAATATAAACTAGAAGTGTAATTATTAAACAAAGAAAATAGGTAACATTTTTTTTCATTTAAAACATTTTTTATGCCCACTAAAGTCAACACCCTTATTAAAACTTCGATGTGATGTTTCATTACTAACTAGTTTCCATATGAATATTATAAAAATCACATTTTGTTCCTTTCATTTTTCATTCTACTATAGTATAGATGAATGGCATATTTGTCATAATATGGACTTCGCTTGACAACATAATTCCAATGCAGTATTTCTCCAATTAGTACCACTGAACTCAAAAAATAACCTATTCCTAAAGCAACAAGAGCACCATACATTTTCCGAAGATCCATTAGTGCACTTGTGCTTGAAGATTCTTTTATAATATTTTCTAATGCATTTGTTGGTAACATTACGTTATACAACCACTTTTTCACTAATCCAGCCTCTATTATTCTGTAAAGAAACTGATCTATCTGAGTTTTAAGTGGCGAGTTCTTTTGCAAACCTATTGATATTGGCATATTAATGACACAATCACGCATTATATGCAAACTTTTCTCTCCTGGAGCATTTGCTATTGTAATGCGTCCAATAGAATGATTTGCATTGGTGGAGACTTGTCTCATAATTCGGGCATGGCGAAGAAAAAATATATTACCATAATAAGCAAATTCTCCCATTGCTACCTTTGTAATAGCTTCTTCTTCATTAAGTACAATTTCAAATTTTTGACCAATTTTTTTACCGGCATCATCTAAAGATGTGAGGAAAAACTCTTTCTCTTGCTCGCCCCATCCTCCACATGATATGTGACTGTTTGCAAGCTGATCCAAAGTATCAATAGTGACTCTAGAATATACACATTTTTATTACACAAGTTGTAAGCAAAAAGTGATTGAAGAAACACTCAGCACTGACATTTTTGGAGATTCACATTTACCTTGGAGCTGGATTGGCAAGGATAGCTGTCATACTTGCTCTGTATGCTACAACAACCAAAACACAATATATCCACCACCATCCTGTCAAAAGACGTAGACTCCAACCAGGAGGTAATTTAGGTAACGACACCAACAATAACATTCCAAAAGAATATAAAATCGCATTGCATATTGTTCCAAATACAAAAAATCCTTCATCATCATGTAATACGTCATCTGGGGATTTATCATCAAACATTCCCTTGTTCAAATGTTTTTGAAAATGTGTTAGTGAATAAAATATAAATCCACCAAGAAGTAAGGTTACAATAACAGCAGCCCACATCAGAGGTCTGAAAAGGAAATTTTATGAAAAACTCATTTTTAGCAAATTTCTTTTTCTATAGTATATTACTCTTACATAATTTCTATGAAGCAATGGAATAGACATTTAAAAAATGCCAATTGATGCTTTAAGTATATTGACAAGTACTTAACAATTACTTAAGTGGTAAAATAAGAGTCCTCCATGCATTGTCTGTCAAAATTTCAGGAGTGAGAAATGTGAGACATTCTGTAATATATGGGATACTTAAATCCATTAAATTAAGAAAATAAGGTGTGTAATACAGATTTCCAAGAGCAATTTCAGCTCGCCCACTGACAACTTCTCCCAACAAACCAGTGAATGATCCATTTACTTGCTTGCGACCCCACTTTTCAGTTCGATTTTGCTCGTATATCATAGGTCTAAAATTCATCTTTGCAGCAAATGTTTTTAAAACCTAGGCAAAAAAAAAAACAACAACAAAAAAACAGAAGAAAAGTTAAAACAAAAATTTCAAGGGTCAGTACCAGATTCTTCTTACCTCAACTTCAAGACCTCGAAATTGTGTACTTTCAATTCCAGATTTAGATTTATTTTCATACACAGCTGACGGAATATTTTGAAAGGTAATGACTTGAAGAGATTGGTTTTGCAAGTTTGAAGTTTTATCCCGAAACAAATCTACTCCGGAGTGAAATTTTCCATTCCGCCATGTATCCAATCGTTGTGGCACTAGTATACCTCGAATGGGTGATGGAAATGGAACTGTGGAGATTTCAATCCAGGGAGCAGTTGAATGAATTTTGCCTGGTTGGCTGATCTTAAAACCTTCCACTGATCGTAAAAAAATTACATTCACAAACTTTTTCCACAGATAATGCAAATCTGGAGCAAACAATCTAGCATCATGTAGAAAAATGAATTTGGCTCGTGTGTTCAACACTCTGTATCTGAAATTAGAGAAAGGATTGAAATTCTGCCAATAAATCTGCCAAACATATAACTGAAAAAGATTTTCCAGTATTTACCTGTCTCCAAATCTTAAAAAACGTGACAACTGAAGACCATTAGAAATAAAAATGATATATACTTGGCAACCATCATATTGTACTTTCCTAACAACTTTCAAAGAATGAAAGTTTGGACTTAATAAATCTTCATTTTCTTTAAATAACATCTATTAATAAAAAAAGTTTCCTTTGGTGAAAAAGAAATGCAAATCTGTATGACTTTTAACAACAAATTTTTTCAAAATGTTACACACATTTGTTCAGAAAACTGAGGAACGTCAAGAAAAACAGTTTAATAGTTTTTAATATATATTTCTGAAATGTTATCTTTTTCTGCACATTTTAACAAATACACATTTAACATAGGTTTTGTCACAATTTATTGATGGCCTAACACTGAATCTCATTGTTGTCAGAAGAGAAAAATGTTTGAAAAATCTACTCTGATAAACCATTTACAAGAATCATCAGAAGAATAAACAATTTTTTGACACATAATAACTTGCATTTCTGTTTATGGACTCATAATAAAAGTCAAAACATCTGTTCATCAAAATTATGTCAGTCTTCATCACTGAAAAACTTAATACAGCAAAATAGTGCCCATACAAAACATTCTATTCTTAATGATGCACATCTTATTCTTAGAGAAACTCCAAAACTTAAATCAGGCACTAAAGGTTTTGCAAACCAAACCCAGACAATACATACCTGCAGTATCTGTAATATGCCTAGAACATAATTGTATTTTGCAGAAGAAATTACTTACCTTAAAATATGGAGGAAAGTGGTGTTTAGAAAAAAAAGAATGACCAAATATGTCTTGATAGTATGGATCGCAAAATATACCCACACATTTGAGCCTGCTACGCAAAGGTGTCACAATATCTTGTAATACCTGTTGGAGAACTATTTTATTTTCTTCATTTGGAATCAAATTGGACGGCAAGATACTAAAAAAGACATCCAAATATTACTTCTTTTAGTTCTTTTGTTTTGATATTTAAACTATCTTGAATTTTCATTACCCATTTTTGTTTCTGAGCAGTTTACCATTGATTACTGCAATGAGATGTAATGAAAAGCATACAAAGAACAAAATAATTTTCCTCATATTATAAAATAAACTAAAAATACTGAAAAGTATGCAGCTGAAAAACCCTTTTCTGGTCTCAACTACAGCAGCAAGAATTAACTGAAAGAAAATCTAAGAAAGAAGGAATTCCGAAAAGGCTAAACAATGAATAATTAGAAAGGGCTGAGTGGTAATTTGCATTTAAAAGACCTAATGTACCGATGACATTTAAGCCAGAGAGCACTAGCATAATTGATTGACATTGATTGGAAGGAAAGGATTCTGCAAGACGTATGGGACAAATATTTTATAAGGTGTCGGAAGATCTGTTCATGAAAACATTCTAAAAACAAAATGAAACAAAGGCCATCTTAAATAATGGTAATTATATTTACAATAATTACATTATCTGATTCTACATATGCATATAAAAACTGATTGACAAAAATTCATTTAGAAAATATGTACAATTTCATTTACATACATTTTTTAATAACAATGCATAAGTTAATCTTTCCAGGCATACAATCTCTATTTACACAAACTTTGTACTTCTGGGCTGTGGTCAGAAATAATATATAATTCACAAATCTCTATATTAACATAATTCTTGGACAACACCTTGTTCCCAACAGTCTTAAGGAAAGAGGTCACAAACAACTTGCTCTAATGAATTTCCTATTTCAGTATTACAAACTGTAAGAGTAGGTTGCTTTATCTTCAATACTGACTTGGAAGGAGAATTTGTAGTCTTGATAAATTCTAATGAACTGAATCTATGAGCACGTCGTAGATGAGTCTTCAAATTTCCTTTTTGGGTGAAAGAGTAATCGCAGTGTGGACATGCAAAGGGCCTTTCCCCTGTATGGCTCTTAATGTGAGTATTTAAGGCGTTTTTCTGGTTGAAGCGTTTATAACATAAATGACACTGGAATGGTCGTTCTCCAGTATGAATACGATTATGCCGTTCCAACTGGCTGGGTTTAGAAAATCTTTTGCCACATGTTTCACAGTCGTGGAAAACAAGAAAGTCATCATCAGCATCCAACGGATCTTCAGGAGCGTCTTTCTTATCTAGGCTTTCACTCACAGCGGTCAAAGTTCTTCCACCTTTAAGACTATCTGTTACCCGATATCTAGAAGGTAAGGGTTGATCAGAAAGAGTTAAAGTGGAATCCGAATTGTCTAAGACTTGCAAACCCAAATCACTGCCAACATTACCAACATTAAAGATCACATTTCCTGCATTGATATTATCACTCGCAGGTTGAATATTGATTATCTGACCAGTTTCATCTGTATGAACTTCATACTGAACTGATGGCATACTTCCACTCAAAGCGTTTACAGCCTGTTGAGTTACATTAGTGTTTTCAACACTTTCTGCTGCATCATCCGAAATAACACCAGGCAAGGATGTTTGAATTATTATATTAGATGTTTGCTGCAGTTGTTGGAGAAGATTTTCATCCAACTGTAGAGATTGAGTTAGTAATGCTCCAGATGAATCAATGCCAGTGATCTGAAAGCCATCTGTCAATTGGAACTGTAAGTTATTTACAACAGTACTGCCATCAGCATTGTTTGATAACAATGCAGTAGAACCAAGAGGATCAGATCCAGCAGTAAGAGGAAGCAGATTTCCTAAAGCAGAAGGATCTAATGTTATATGAGTCATTGGATTCAGTTGCGAATCACTAACATCAAGTTGGGGTTCAGTTCCAGATGCGGAAGCCGGATTTGTTTCTGCAGATAACAATTTACGTTTCTTTGATGATTTTAAACTGCTTGAAGAATTGGATTTGGAATTTTGAGCTTCTTTCATATGAGATATAAGATGAGCTTTGCGGTGACCAGATGTCCGAAATCTCATTTCACACATTGGGCATTTGAATGGCTTGGCACCTGAAACAAATGTATACATTTATATCAATAAAAAAAAACAACAACTCATAATATAATATAACATGATTCAAGACAGTGAAACGAGGCAATATATACCAGGAGGCACTTGTGGAAATATGCAAGTTACATCAGAAATCAATTTATAACTTTGAAAATTTTCCTAGTTTTAGAGAAATTATTGATTGATTGTTTTAATGATTCTGAGCACGCCAACTTCCAGAGTCATTAGTCCCATAAGTGTAGTGCATTTTATGCTTGGGAGGTGGCAGTGATCTTTTTGCCGCTGTAGACCGAGATCCAACGCCAACCTACTGTTGGCTAGCAGGGTTTTCCCCAACAAGGTATCTCCCACTAGCAGGACACTGTCCCATCTGGGAAAAGCTTTAAGCACTCGACTGGTCTCCTGGCATGTGTGGTAGTGTAGTGCATGTTAGTGTAAGTGCATGTAACAGGTGAGGATAGGACAAGGAAGAGGAAGGTGAGATTACATGTGGCTCGTGGCCTGTTTGTTGGGGTACTGATCCGGCTGGTGTTGATTGGAGAAAACATGGGAAACTACTGATCTGAGCAGATGGCCCTCGGAATTCTCTTCCAGACAGAGACGAAATTCGATCTAGCTAACAAGCTAGTATCAAAAATCCTGCCACAAGTGCAACTCAAACTTAGAACCTCCCGGTCGGAGGGCCTGCAGTGACATCAGTTGATGCTCTGAGCCATCTTTCACGGTTGTAAAGAAATGGATGAGTAATATATTTCTGTTATGAGTGAAGAATGTGATTTTTGAAATAATCAATAACATGACTTAATTTTAATAAAAAAATAAAATGCAGGTCTAATTGACCCAATCATCAAGAGTGTGACAGAAGGCAACAACTGAAGGGTTAAGTTTTTATCACAGATCATTACACAAAAAGTGAGAAGTTTCTTTTTCCCTTTCCAAAATATGATTTTATAATGTTTTCATGTTTAAATGCAATGTCACACTAATTTAAATTCAAAATAGATCAATCAGCCATCTTCCCATTACAAATACTCAAAGTTCTAAGTTATGATAAAAGGTTAAAACAACATTTAGAAATCTCACAACCTAACAAAACATTTTAACCACGATAAATCAAAGATAACAGAAAAAAGTTTCTACAAAAAACCTTACCTGTGTGAAGCCGCATATGCACTTTCAAACTGCCTTTGGTGGCAAAGAGCCTGCTGCACACATGACAAGTGCATAGTTTCTGGCCACTGTGGGTTTTCATATGGCTATCTAATGTGGATTTAACAGTAAAACACTTGTTGCAGCAACTACACTGGAAGGGTCTTTCCCCAGTGTGAATGCGGATATGACGTACCAAATCTGATGGCTTACGGAAACTCTTAGGGCAGTATTTACACTGATTTGCAAACAGTGGTTCATCTCTATATTGATCCTCAGGATCCTGCAACAATTGGTAAATAAGTATCTTAAACTTAAATGTCTGATAATAATCATTAAAAGAAAGTAATTTTCATTGGAAGATTGTTAAAGTACATTTATTTTCTCACTCAAAAGAAAAAATTGTAACCAGATAACTATATATTTGAAGATAAATTAAAAAAAAGACCACTCTCTCCAAATAAGTTTACATTCATACTTGTTGCCTTCAAAGTATATCCCTTGAAATGCTACTATTTCCGATTTACAAAGGTTATACCACTCAAAATACTAACACAGCTCATAAATTCATCACCAAAAGCTTGCTGAATCAATTTGAAGATCTCTGTTTAACTTTTCCCAATAAAAAACAATATTAAAACAACAACAAATGCTGCTCTTCCAGATCCTCCTCTATGTGCAGACACAACAATTGAACTGTCGTGCGGCTCTAATATAGATGTACCAAGAGATGATAGCTGCGAGACGTACCAGGCAATGTTTTAATTGCCGTGGACACCACTAAAAGGTGCCATGTGTCTCGCTTTGATTTATCAAGCAGTTTGCAAGGAAGGAGCTCAGTCTGGTCCTGTTTTGAACACACCTTATACTTCAAATCAATGGACATTGCACTATCTTATTGATTTTATAAATTTAGTTTACTCCTAAAACACACATGCTGCTACACGTTGTGATGTTTGCATTATGAGGTTGAACACAAGGCTTGGTTCACAGTACTATTTTGTCCGATCTGATTTCAGCAAGAAAAATGGAATTAACAATAGTTGCACAACATAAAAATTAAATGCTGTTAAGGTCTAATATCTAGTTTTATAATAGTTTTCAAAATTCCCTTGATGTCTATTGATTCTTCAACAATTCTCCGATTTTCCATTCACTTTCTTGATGAGCATTATTTCCAAACTTTTCTGGTTTTCTAGAAGGTTTCTAGAAGGATTATCTCTTTCTGCTCAGAATAATTTCTTCTTGCCATGCATTTAAACTTATCGTTTCAACACTTGCATACATTGGGTGGGGACAAGCCCAAAGGGCTTATTTTTAAAAATCTTTTTGAGAAAAATCTTAGTCTTAGTTATGGAGTGAAGTGTGGATGACATGTTGATGCATTGTGCTATTTTGTAGAGCTGATATTATTTACTGAAAAGCTCTGTTTAATTTTGTACTCAAATCATGAGAGAAGAATTGAAGACATGCTTGTGGAAATAAAGGTGACAAATTTTATTCCAAATTGTAAGAGATAAATAATTGGAAAGTCTTTACTTAAAATCCTAACCTAAAAATAGACAAACTTAATCTCCAGATGGAGAGAAATGTAAATCAACTGAACTCCGGTAGAGGCAGCACTAGCATATCTGAAGCCAAATTTGAACACGCACCTTTTCAAATAGTAACGCAAGTCAGCACTTACAGACGGAAGTACGTCTCTGGAAGCAGAATCCATCTTTCCACTGTTAAATTGACCGTTCTAATGATGACAACACGTTGTGTGTTATATATTGAAGATTGATATAGAGTTTATTGTCTAATAGTGCAAGGCATATGCAAGGAAAAACTACCAACTGGCATTATTGTAGAAAGCCCGTAATCAAAATTACAGTCTACTGCATGAATTGTCACAAGTCATACCACCCCAGTTGTGGAGATAGAGTGAAGATAAACTCAAATTCAAAGACTTTATATGCTGAAAGTCTGATACTGACGAGCTAATTAAAATTTTTAAACAGGAATTACAAAACAGAACTAAAAGTCTTAGTGATAGAATATCTCAACTAGAAGTAGATCTGACCAACAATCAAAAGGAAGGTCTGAAATAATTAAAAAGAATGTCAAAAAATTAAAAGATTCGATTAGTAAATTGACAACCAAAATTAAGAGCTGTAAAGCAGGACAGAAAGAACTCGAAATAAGATGCAATAAAATGGAATCCTCACAAACTGAGACAGAAGCTCAAAATGCTAGATATCTCAACGATATTAAAGCATCTCTAAACAACCAATGCAACTTCTGAATGCAAATTTATACTTCTTGAAGAGATTGAAGAACGGCACTTACATAAAAGAAATATAATCCTCTATGGAGTGAGTGAATCGAGTAGGGATGATGTAGGGGAATGACAAACTGAAGATCAAAAAAATGTAGAAGATAAGATTAACAACATGGAAAGGGACTCAAAGGACTGTATAATGTGCACAACAAGAACGGGAAAATCAAATACCATTTCCTCCACGCCCAGACCTATGAAGGTAGTCGTTAGAGATGCCAGCATAGCCAAAGGTATTTTGAGGAACAGTCGAATACTATCTGCTGGAATTAAAGCTAATAACGACCTTACTCCAATGCAAAGAGAGGATCTGAAAAATCTTAAGAGCGAAGCTCGTAGTTGAACAAAACTCAAACCCTAACCTTGTGATCAGATATATAACGGGTAAACCAAGGATCGTTAACAGGATGGGAAATGACAAATAGCAGCAACGAGATCAATAATTATACCAGTGCCAATCTGGTGGCCGAGATCGCTAAGGCAGTAGTGCCGTAGCGATCTTGTACCGAAAGATCGCGGGTTCGAGTCCCGCCTCGGGCATGGTTGTATTGTGTTCGTCCTTTCACCCCCTATCATTCATCATCCTCCATCTCTCATTATCACCTTTCTGAATAACATTCAGAATTGTAACTCGAGGATTTATCCTCACCTCAAGGTGACAAACCTCCGACAGTCGACCACGAACAGTAAGTGAAGTTGAACGACTGAAGTGGTCCTATGTGGCCAATCAAGTTAAAAAACCAGTTATGTTATACACAAATACATCATCACTGATACCAAAATTTGATCAATTTCTTCAATAGTATACAACCAGACATTATAATAATTACTGAATCATGGCTAAATTCAAAAATTCCAGATAGAATGGTATCTATCCCTGGTTTTCCATTTACCGCAAGGACAGATCTGATAAACGAGGAGGGGGAGTATCGATATATGCAATACAGAAAATTGGATCCACTATTGTGAGAGTAGAGGAAATCCGTGAAATAGAAAATCCCAATATAGAAACACTATGGCTGAAACTGAGAATAGGTAGAACACAATCTATCATCGGAGGAATATACAGACCACCGTCAACTGAGTCAAGACCAAGCCAAACAGACCATAAACTTTTTGAACAAATAGATAAAATATGTGAAACGGGCAAACCAACTATAATCATGCAGGATTTCAATTTCCCTTCCATAAATTGGTCTAAAAATGTAGCCACATCCAAAACAGAAGTAGAACGGGAGTTTCTTCAACATTGTATTGACTCTAACCTGAGTCAAAAAGTCAACGAACCCACAAGGTACAGAGGAAACCGAACTCCTTCGATTCTAGATCTAGTGCTGGTAAATGAAGATATTATCAACCCTTCTATCCTGAGACCAAATATCAAGCAGAGTGATCACCTGGTAATTGAACCTGGTAATCAACCTTACAAGTAGAAACACAGGAAAAGGAAGAGCACTCAGGAGGATCCAGTGATGAACCGAACTTGTTTAGAGCAGACTTTGAAACAACAACAACAACAACAACAAAAAAAAAAATTAGCAAACCAAGGATTCCTAACAAAATGAGAAAGGAAATCAGAACCAAAAGACGAGCTTGGAAGAAATACAAGAGAACTGGTGCAGATAAACATCATGAAGAATAGAGAATAATCTCGAACAAACTCATGTTTGACATAAGATCTGGAAGAGAAAATGTGAAAAACAAGTTGTACAGGATGGAAACAAAAGGTTTTATTTATATATTTGAAAACAGAACTCTTGTGAAACAGGACCATCAAATACAATTCAAAGTAAAGGACTTCAAACATCCAAACCAGAAGAAATCGCAGAACTTTTTGCAGACTACTTTGAAATGGTATATACAGTCTAAACTACTGACAAATTACCAAATATTGAAAAAAGATCCACTGAAATAGTTGAAGATGTTGAGTTTATGAATATTGAAACTGCTGAGACGTTCCTAGGCCTGAATATTAACTCTTCACCTGGCCCTGATATTATTTCAACAATATATCTGGGAAACTGTGCAACACAACTAGCCCCAAAATTGAACAAAATCTTCAAACAATCACTAGAGACCATGAAAATACCTCTTGCATGGAAGACTGTTGAACTTACTCCTACTGTCAAGAAAGTCGACAAACAATTGGTAGAAAACTATCGACCGATAAGCTTGACCAGCACTGTGGGCAAAATTATGGAGAGGAAAATATTTCAAAGGCTGCGAGAACATGCACAGAAAAATGATATTAACCCCACAGAACAACATGGATTTGTTCCTGGAAAGTCAACTACCACAAATCTGATCAGCTCAGTAGATGTATGGACTAAAGCACTGGACCAAGGGCAACCCATGGATTTGTTCTATGCGAAAGCCTTCAACAAAGTTCCCCATAAACTACTCATAAACTAGAGGCCATTGGGGTAAGGGAACTACTAGCTTGGATCCGAGAATATCTTCTGACAGATCGTTCCGTGTCCGCATTGGCGACAGCTCATCGGCATCCAGAACAGTCACAAGTGGAGTACCTCAAGGATAAGTTCTGGGACCGCTACTGTTCATCTTATATACTAGTGACCTTGGAAATGAGATTGTATCAAAATGGAACTGTTATGCAGATGATACAAAACCGTTTGCAAACCCATTAATTGATTATCAAACCTTACAGAAGGACTTGATCACAATGGAAAATTGGTCAAAGGCGAGGCTTCTTCTGCTGAATTCTAAAAAATGCAAAAACCTCCATATCGGTAAGAAAAATCCTAGACTACCCTACACTATCGCAGATCACACCTGGACATCATAGTACTACAAAACGATCTGGGTGTAATAATTTCTCATGATCTGAAATGGGAATGTCAAGTTGCAGCAGTGGCCAGGTGAGTAAACAGTGCTCTGTATATGATGAGAAAGGCATTCCCCAAATTACACAGCCCCACAGTTGGGAAAATTTACACGACATATGTTCGACCCATATTGGAGTATGTTAATGTAGTTTGGTCCCCATATTATAAAAAAGGCAAACTGTCTGGAAAAAATACAAAAAACCAAATACCAAGAGAAAATCACCTAGATTCCAATTACCAGGAAAGATGTCAGGTGTCCTTTTTATCAACAGAGGAGAACCAGAACTGATTTTGTAGAAACATAAAATTTTGAATGGACTATACAAAATTCCACGACAAGAATCCCTCTTTACAAGAACTACTGATGATAGACTATGGAGACAAGAACAAATTGAGGAAAGAGAAAACAAAGACTGGACAAAGAGCACATTTTATCACCAATGAATAGTCAACACATGTAATAAACTACCAGTGGAATGCATTGAAAAGCAAACTCTAAGTGCGTTTAAAAATAACTTGGACAAAATTGAGTTATAAATGGTATATAGATAGTATATAAATAAATAAAATAGTATATAAATAGTGATAAATGATATTCTGATGTGATGTAAGAAATATTTGATAAACTATTATGTTATATTTGATAAGATATGTAAATGAGCCATTGATTATGATTATAATGATATGTGGACTTAGTATTGTACAAATTAGAAACACTATATTATGAAATACGATTAGATATGAGTATAACAGCCAATTGCTGCTACCATTATTCAATAAATAATTAAATAAAATTAAAATTAAAAAAAAGAAGAAAATCAAATTCAAGCTGAAATTAACGAAGGAATAAGAAACAGACAGAAGGCATTCTTTGCTAATTTAAATCTATTAAGATCAAGAGATATAAAGATGAGAATTTACTCATAGAAGATCCAAATTCATTCAATTGTAATGTCTGCCTCAGAAGCCAAACTCTCAATGAAAAAGATATCACAGTATCAATGAAAAAGATACCAAAGTATCAATGAAAAAGATATTATGGGATGTCCATAAATTACGTAATGCAAATTTGGAGTATTTTGAATACCCTCTCTCCTCCCAGTAACACACTCCTAACGTGTGATTGCCCCCACCCCCCTAATAATTACGTAACACTAGCGACAACCTCACCCCCTATGTTAATGCAAAAGTGAAAATAAATTATTTTCAGTAAAATAACAGTATTCACTTCATTAATTTACTAACAACATCTAGTAGCTTAAAATAATTTTGTTTTAAAACAAATTAATTAGATAATATCTTTATGTTTTAGTACGTTGAAAAAGGAAGTATTTCAACAAATGTTAAGAAATGTAAAAATAATTCGGTGTAACATAACACTAATGGAATACTTCCCCTACCCCTATGTACCGCAGCATAACACTGCTTCAATCTGCTCCCTCTCGCGATACGTATTTATGGACGGCTCCTTACAAAATTTGACAGGCAAATATTGCATATAATGTGAGGGCCAATCCAAGTGACTCCAGGGATGAGTAGAACCAATCAAAAAATTGAAAATTTAATAAACGGTGTGACTATATAAAGAGATTCATTAAAGCCCAGCGAATAAAATGGATAGGCTATAAGCAATGAATGCATAGTATAAACAATTATGGGATGGACAGTAACCGGTCAACAAAAGAGGAAAACCAAAACTCGGTGGATATATGTGCTTGGATCTCCGCGTGCTTAACAAAAAAAAAGTGGAGATTGACTAATGTACAGGAAGAAAATGGAATGATTAGTCCAAAAGTGAAAACTCAAAAAATGGCTGTAGTGTTAATGGAAGAAGAAAGAATGAAACAGACTTCTCTTACAAACACCTAAGAGGTCATTATTTATAGTTGAAGAAACTGATCAATTTACAATTCTCAAGAAATTTGCAAACCTTCAATTCACTTATTCTGTCCTTTTCTGCTGCTGAAGAGATTAAAACTTTCTCGGAGACTGACGATGCACTATCTATGGATTGCTGGGCAAGAACTTGAGTTTCTTCTGGTGTCAACTGAATAACTGCAGCTCGTCGTCTTTGTCGTGGCTCAGCAGTATTTCGCACTACTACTTCACCCTTCTTTTCACGAGGTTCGTGAAGTCTTATGTGCCGGCGTAAATGAGTGTCAGTACGAAACTGAGCTGCACATAAACTACATTTGAAAGGCCTAGAAAATTGAAAATTATATTTAAATCATATTACAAATACAGTAATCTTTCATTAAATAATTTAAAACAAATAAAATGACTTTCACTAAAGAAATTTTATACAAATATATGCTTACCTTTTATCACTATGAATCATCATATGTCTCGTCAAAGTGCCGTTGGTAGCAAACCGACACCCACAAACTGGGCAGCCATATTCTTTTTCTCCCGAGTGCAATTTCATGTGAGCCTTTAAGGCACTTGTAGAACTACATTTTTGAGTGCACATATTGCAAGCATACAACTTTTCACCCGAATGGGAACGGAAATGAGATTTTAAATGAGACATTTTCTTGAACGACTGGTTACAAGTCCCACATCTGCAACAAAAATTAAAACAAATTCTTACAGAATAAAGCGAAAGTGACATTAACACAATATTTTTATATCATTAGTCTTCTGTCACAAAATGAAACAAATACTATAATCAATTAAAAAATGTTCAAATTCAAAATAATTCATGTTAACCCTTTGCATTTCTCCACACTGTCCATATGCACTTTCACTTGCACGTCAAGGGTAGCTCAATAGCATTTTTAGTCTTTCACACCAGAAAGTCAAGACTGCCCATCCAGTACCACCACTTCAAGCATTCAAGTATACCAAGTCTGTCACCAATGAATAGAAATAGTTGAGAAGTCAAGTGAGAAAGGAAAAGCACAACAGAAACACTAGTCTAAAAACAAGGTAATCTATATTTTTCACTAGTTTCCCATGACTGCTTGAAAAAATATTACAGTGAATTGACAATATATTCTGATTGAGGAATATACGTCAATTATTCGTCGTTTTGGAAAGTACATGAAACGTGTACAATAATGGTGTTAGAATTCTGTAGTGTATTGTAACAGCATTTCTGATGGGCAGTAAGGGTCGTGGGTTGAGATGGTGGTGGAGGACCATACTTACAAGACAATGTAGCTGTCGGGACAGCCAAGGGAGAGACGGTCACAGAACACTGTGTGTTTTGTACCAGCCAACCAGTACGAGCTCGTGAACAAATGAGCAGCGTAGGCAAAATAGATTACTGAACAGCGGTGGATCTTGGAAAGGGGCCATACCCCACCACAAAAATTTTTTTGTAATTTTATTAAATTTAATAAAAAAAAAGTCTCACAGATGAACTATATTCCAAAACATTTCCATGAAGCATGTGCAGCTGCAAATTCAAGATATTCAGATTCTAAAAATGTGTTGTGAATTTTTGCTGGCAAAAATTCAGGAATAGAATTCAATTTTGTTCGAGGCGATAAAGATTTCTGAATTACATACACAATCTTTTAAAATTTCATCTTTCATACAGCTTTTGATGAATTTTTCATGTCAAAATATTCATCTCCATTCCAAGTACTCTCCTTAACTGATAAAAAAAAAGCCAACAATAAAGCTTAGCTTAACTCCACTCTTTTTAGCCATTTGTGTGAATCATACCACAAAGGATTGAATTTTCTGGCATTTTTCTCATCAGCACAATGTGGGCAGGTAAGGGCGGAGCAAAGCACCTCTGTCAAGCTGGTACTCTGCCTTCTCAGAAATTCAAAATCAACTGAACTAATATTTTCTTCTGATTGTTTACTAATTTTGTACCCCCCCCCAAAAAGTAATTTAGTACTCACTAAAACAAATAACCACCCTAATTTGAAGTACCCAGACAGGGCAAAAATTTTATGTTTGCCATGGTGTCTGAATACCTAGAAATGCTTCTGCTATTATAAGATATCATTATTTAATGCTAGGGAAAACAGATTTTGAATTTTTAAGAGAAAATACATATTTCGAGATCCCTGTAAGGCATATTTTCAAAATTTTCTAAAACATAGCTGCAGATGTTTCTGTAAATTTCTTGTAAGAATAGACGACAATACACTAATGAAAATGGCATGGGACAAATTTTCATTAACTATGAATTTTCAAAAATTACAAAGTTTGAAATTTTTTGAAACTCATCATACATAAGTGCACTTTTAAAGATTTTTTCTTCTTAACTTAAATTTGTTCTTTGTTGTTAATTCTTTAATTAATGCCATGTACATTTTTTAGAACTATAAATAGTTTTTGCCTAAATTCAAGTGGGATTTGCACAATTTTGAAAAGAAGATTTTCTTGAAAATAACTCTTATATATTACAATTCTTCTTCTTCTTATTAAATATTATAATTCTACAATTACACACAATTTGAAAAAATGTTCGTATTTTTTGCTAAAGTCCCATTTCTATAATATAAATATTAAATGAAAGTAAACTAAACCATTGCTGTAACTGATACTGTAAATATTATATTCTACAATATTTTGTGTAGTGTTAATTAATGTTGAGAAAATTGTTCAATAAAGGGTGCGATGTTGATAGATTTTAATGATTAAGTTTGTTTACATTGTTACCATAGAAACCAATGGTGTCAGTCATTCAGCTATACAGAATCAATGTTACAAAGCACATTGAAGGCTGCATAGGTAAAAAGGTCAATTTTAGTTTTCTCATTCGTTTTATATGTATATTTATTATTACATAATTGTAACATGTTTACAAATATATATCATGTAGTCAAGTAATTCAGGATCATAAGAAGAGGCCTTGAGGCATGTGAGCTCAAGTAGGTGGACTGTAGGTCTGTGGGTTTGAAACTTGCATGAATGATGAAGCATGAATGTTTTAAGATGTCGGGGTCATGCAGAGTCACTCCTGTATAATATCTATATCCTAAATCTTCCACAATCTTTTGAGCTGACTAGCAACTTTGTGATATGTGCATGTAATTGAGGAACCAGAAGGATTTCTACACCCACAACAACGGTACAAACTTCAAGATGGTTACCATGAGTATGACATGCATTAGTGCTCCTTACTGAGAAAATCCCCAGTGAACCAGCTGGAATCATGAGAGGCATTGGTAGGCCACTTAAGTCCATAGATAGCAGCTGGGAAGAGGAGACAAAACCAAAAAAAGATAGTCTCATGAGAAAAGGAAACAAACTAGAATGAGAAAGTCTTTGCAATTCTGTAGCACCTCTTGTTAAAAATTACTAGAGATTGCCACCATACTTATCTCACTGCTCAAGGGGTGAGTAAATTTGATTTATTCAGTCTGATTTTATAAAATGGCATAGTGAGAAAAAATACATTATTTTAAAATATTTTACATATTTTTTTCAGAGAGTGAAATTAATAGTAATTAAAAGTAAGTTAGCAACTTACACATGAGGCCTCTTACAAGATCCATCTCTCATTTTATGGCCTGTCATGAGATGTTCTGGTTGATCTTCGTGATCCAAGGGCTGTTGATCCTCCTCTTCTAAGTCTTCGTTTTCCTCATCTCCGACCTCCTGTAATTGTTCTGACCCATCACCTACACCATTCATGGTCACTGCTGCCTGCAAAAGATCCTGATTGCTTCCGTTGATCATTTCCTGCCCTTGTAAAACTTCCCCGGTAGAAATGTTAATGGTGGCACCTTCCTCTAAAGATTCATTCTGAATTTCTTGTAATGTTTCTGTTAGTGTGGGATCTGAACCAGTGCCATCAGTCGGTGGAAGAATGTTCGTTATATTACTTGCAATACCAGTATTGTCAGCTAACGGATCAAGATTCAGGTCACTCTGAACATAAAAAGAAAACAAATAATAAAACATATTTGGAGAACTTTGATATACCATGAAAATCATTTACTGACCATAAATCAAAATTTCCAGACTTTAACAATAAGAATTTAACAAGCTTGAGTGGACAGAACAAAATACAATTTTGTAGCAACTTCCTGCGAGCTAGAAGAAGTATTTATACATATTCTATTAATAGATTCAAAACTGCTTGTTCTTTCATATGAAGAAAATCATCAGGTATGTAAACTAGAAAAAATGGCTCTAATCCACAGACCATATGATAGCTCTAAGATCACAACTTTCGTATCTAATAAACATTTTTTTCCTGTAAGAGATTTTCTATCATCCAAGATGATATGAAGATCATAATCAAGTTTTTTAATGTAAAAATTTTCTTATTAACAGTCTCATGTATTAAAAAAACCTTCAAAATTGTAGTTTGATATTTTATCCCTGCCATCAGTGTTGTGTGATGCTCTATAGTTCAATTTACGATTCATAGTTAGGTCTAGAATGTTGTCATTTTTATAAAATTCACTAACCCTCAATCTAAAATGTTCATTTGTTTGTAACTAGAAAGCATTTCCATGCAGATTGTTTTACATTAGAATCTTTTATTTATTAAATTAATGAATTTTATTGTTTTGTTAAAAAGTGAATTTAATTATTTACAAAAAGAATAAAAATGTTAAAATGGAATTGAACCTGGGAGCTTAGTGACATCATTTAAAAAATTTAAAAGGAAACAAAAATCACACGTGATGTTCTAAAACACTGAAGATAAAAAAATTATGCATTTAAATAGCAAATCTGTATTACACAGATTTACTGCACTTTCAATTTCTACAAAAAACTGTTGGCCTATGAATAAAAAACAATTTGTCTTTCAAACATTCACAAAATAATGAAAGTCAAAGTAGTCTTTGGATTTAATTTAAAATTGTACAAACCTGTAATGCAACAGAAGAAAAAACACAATTGTCAAAAGGCTGAGTATCAAACGATGCACCAAAAATTCCAGATGCATCAGACTTTGCTGGTTTGATTGGGCTCTCCTCACAAAGGACAAATTCCAGACTTTGCTGGGTCTGTGGAGAAGCAGCAGCAGCCGCTGCTGCTAGGGAGTGAGTCAATTCATCTGTCGTGTTAGACTCTATATCACTTGCATCAGCAGGCATGACATTTTCTGCTGCACCATTTAGATCATCACAATTAACAGCATTTGTATTATTACTACTGGAACCCACTGTTGTAATGGCCAAAGTTGATGGGTTTCCTCCAGCATCTACAAGAGCATTTCCGGAGGGGCCAAAAATCTGTTCATTTAATGTCCTTTCAATTTCAGTTATATTCTCCTGAAAAACAAAATCTTTCTTAAACAAAAGCCATTTATATTGTACACAATAATTCTAATTTTACCCTACCAACCTGGGTTAATGTATGTTGCTCTGCAAGTGGTAACGTGATGGTGCCAGATGCATCAGCATGAAGTGTATGAGTAATTACTTCTTGTACGGCCTGTAGATCTGCTTGCGTACCCAAATCTCCTACGAATGAAAAAAATAGTATAGCAAAATAATTACCAAGATTGGAATTAGATAATCAAATGCTGTCTTCTTACAATATTTATAAATAAAAATTTTTAAATTAAAATCATTGTTCTATTGCAATATAAAAACAATAGTTTTTACCTGTAGTAAATGACTGAACAATAGCATTCTGAGCAAAATCTGCCTCTGTGGGATCTTGTTGTGCATTAGTAAGAGTGAATGCTTGGTTGGTGAATGCCTGAGTGTACTCTTCAGATAATGTAGCAGTAAAGGCACCATTAATTTCTAATCCTGTGGTTCCATTAGTTATTTTGTTGACTTTCTCTTGCTGCTGAGCAGCCTAAAAACAATTCGAAAGTAAGACAACAAAATATTAACTATTTGGAAGTAGTTGCTCAAAGTAACTGTTATACTGTTAACCTTCTTCTGCAGGTATGCTTATTATGTCATAAAAGGACATTTAAAATGGGTATCATCTGAAGTATTATTCTAGAAAAAGATCTGTTACCCAACAATCAAAATTTTTTTGCCTTTACAAATTGTTGCATTTTATCACTGGTTCTTTCAATTCCATTCTCTTGCAACAAAATTCTTTTATTGCTTGTGAACTTATGTCCAAATGCATTATATATAAACTAAAAAAAGCAAGAGAATTAATATTATCCATATTTCAATGTAATATCACTCATCTCCTTATATTGAATAAACTGCAAATCTAATATCATGCGAGATTGTTTGTCAATGAGCACATCCTATAAAGTGGATTTGCCATGGGAAGAAAAAAATAGCTGATCTTCTAGTTGCCTGTACTAGAACTTTCAACTATAATGATTGGACTAAAGCGGGCTGCCAACCATTCCATTATAAACTTTATACACAAACTTTCATCACTTTATATCACTAATTTCATTTTGATAGTTATGTGTTGGGATTATGAAGGCTGTTGCTGTACCATTATAAATATGATCAATGATGGGATTTTGCAAACCCATAAGAGTAGCAAAGATTCTGAAGAACTTCTGCTGGACAGTTTCCCATTGTTTTGTGTGCAATTGCTAAAGAACAGTGCCAGACTGAAGAACATCAAAATTGATCTTACAAGCATTAAATATTCAATGTTTTAAAGAGTTAAATTGATTTCAAATACATCTAATAAATTTTAATATTTGGTTAGCTTTGTCAGCAGTGTAATTAGTCTGTTACAAAAATGACATTTTTAAATACAATATAATGCCTAGATCACAAATTGTTGTAACATGTTTTACAATACTCGACATTAGAATGTAGTTGAATGAAAAAGCAACTTTCGACCTAGAAAAGATACATTTATCAGCAAATACAAAAAATTCTACATCTCCGGGAACAAAGTGTAAATCGTATATAAAGATTACAAAAAGTAATGATTCCAGATTAGAAACCTGCTGTCCTCCAGAGCAAACCTTAAATCCATCATGTAATGTACCATTCATTTAAAAAAATTGTTTTTTAAATCTTTTATTTTAGTTTTAACAATGCTATTATGATACTACTTAAGAAAGCATGAAATTGTGAAAACACAGGTGTATACAAGTATTTCCAACAAATAGCCTATGGTATTTACCCAACACAAAATATTTTATTAGGCAAGTGGTACAATGTGTTCTCATGATGAATAACTCATGATGATTTGCAGTTGGAAGTTTGATTACATGTATATATGGCTTTGACACTGTCATATGACCTCAGTGTCTGAAGAAAATATTGTGCGATAACAGAAATAATTGAAATTATTGCAATGCTATGCTATTTGTGTTTTTTTTATAATATGTTTTATATTTTAAAATTGAGTCTTGAATGTGAGTCATGCTTTCGCACTAATGCTGTCTTTACAGAAGCTACCAAACACAATGTTTTACAAACAGCTGCTGTGGCACTGAACAGCTGCTGTACCATGGGGGATGCTTCTTTCAAGTAAACGTGATCCGTTTGCTTTCCAAACTATCACTATAAGCCCTTTTTAGGCTAAATTCTCTACAGCAGTGGGAGAGGGTAAAATGACAAATGCGCAAATAATACCTGTAAAGCCAATTCCGGGCGATGAGTTCTCATATGCTTGCGGCAATTGATTTTTGTTTTAAATGTTTTATGGCAATAAGGACATAACACAGACCTCTGTTCACTGTGTGTAACAGCATGTCGCTTGAGACTTCCATGAGTTGAGAAAAGATTGTTACACACAGGGCACATATGCATTTTAATCCCCTCATGAGTTCTCATGTGAGCTTTCAGGACACCATTTGAGATAAAACACCTTAAGACAAAGAAAACAAATTAGTCAACCAAGTGTTCTTTATTTATCACAAAACCATTAATACTTTCTAAATTTCAAGATTGAAATCAATCCAATTACAATATCAGCTATTGGTTTTCCAAAACTTGCCCATATGCTGCTCAGAAAATATAGATTAAAAACTCTCATAACACTAAAATAAATTAGATATTTAAAACCAACAGTTTTCCAAATACTGCAATAGTATAGTATTGATGGATACATAGTATAAACAGTTCTTTACTCTCCAAGAATATCATAAAAATTGCTGTTCCATATTGCATCATATGAAATAAGCATAATATTTCAAATGAATTGCATCAAGAATGAGCTTTTTTAGCTAATATGCAATATGAGAAGAAGGAGGAGAACGAGAAAATATATTTGAAACTTTTTTAATCAAAATCAGGTCCTCAATTTACAGCAAAACGCCTGGTAGTAGAGCCAGTTATAAGAGAAGATTCCTACTTATAGGAGACAATTCACGTTCCCAAGGCCAGTTGTATATAAACAATGCATTTATTTAATGCATTTTAGAAACCCTGTTATAAGAGATTTCCACCTATTGTGGACAAGATTTTATTTAGATTTTTGGTTTTGTTTTTTAAAACTACGATCATTTTTTGAAAAATCGTACCTGACTATATTTAAAGATCTAAATTTGAAGACCAGATTCTTTTAAGAAAAAATGTATCTTCAATATTGTAGTTACAGGAAGAAGTGGATTTATTAACTTTTACAATACTAGAAAATTCAGAGAATTTAATGAAAATCCAACCTTCACAATTCTTATAAGCATCCTTTGATCTATGGCAGAAAACAATTCAATGCACACATTGGAGTCATTTTTGAGAAAATTTTGAAAAATGTTATTAAGGCTTCTTGTAAAGTACCTCCAAAACTGAAAATTTCAGTGACAATTCTGTCTATAGTTCAGCCGCTAGCGTTGTTCACAGATGTACACAGACAGTATACAAAATGACTTTTGAAATAAACCAATTTTTTGGTATCAAAAACCCCACACCCACAAAAAGTGGATTCTGATTTCATGTCTTGGACAAAGTAATTTGCTACATATTTGAGCAAGCATTATCCACTTTTCAAATTTTAGGGATCCTTGAAACAAGTTAGTCTGTTGAAAAATCACCACTTTTTGCCACAGAATATTTTCTCTTTACTATGTATATGGTGTAAGAAAGTAAAAATGACACCCACAAAATTACATTTGAAGGAAGAAAAAATATAAATTAAATAATTCACACATGAAAAAATTAAAAATGATAAAAGAAAATAACTTACTTATTACACTGCTCACATTTGAATGGACGTTCTCCAGTATGCAAACGCTTCATGTGTTGTTTTAAATGGCTAGATTTTCGGAATCCTGCACAACACACTCCGCATTTATGAGGTCTTTCTGAGCTAATAGTATCACCAGGAAGATATATTTGGCTATGGGGTGCTTGCGACTGCACTAATCCTGAGATAAATAGAGCAATATGATAAAATGCATTCAAATAGGAACAATAAAACTAAAGAAAGAACTATTTTGTAAGCAGTTTTCTGTCCATGTGGATTTGCTTTGAAAACTTTTCTTCTCAACAAAAAATATATCTGGACATAGACACATTCTAAAATTTCTAAAGATATATTCAATTGATTAAACAACACTTCACTACCATTTTCAGTAATAATAATTGGTTCTTGAAGGGTAACTGGAGGCAGAGTAGATAAGTCAATCTTGGGAGCACGATTTTTTCGCTTGGCTTCAGAATTTTCTTCAGATTCTCTAATGTGAGAAAGAATGTGAGTCTTGCGGTGACCAGTTGTCCGAAATGTTTTAGGGCAGTGTTGACAAGCGAAGGGTTTAGTTCCTGTATGTAACCTGGTATACAAATCACCATTATGTTTCCTAATATTTTATCACATTCAATTCAAAGTATTAACAAGATATATTTTATAGTTACATTACCTCATATGTACTTTCAAACTGCTTGCAGATGAGAATTTCTTGCTGCACACACCACAAATATAATCTTTAACTCCTGTGTGTGTTCTGATGTGAGCAGTGAGGGCTGATTTCACAGCAAAGGAGCGGAAGCAATGTGTGCACTATAACAAAAATGCCTTTCTTAGCTCTTTTTTCCTATTTTGAAACATATAAATAAATATACACACACACATACATACATGTGTGTATCTTCTTGAATGTATTTATACTGTACCTTATACGGTCTTTCATGGGTATGGGTTCTGATGTGGCGTACCAGATCTGATGGTTTTTTGAATTCTTTAATGCAATATGAACACTGATGCCATCGGATGTTGCCTACACGACGCTGACGAATATAATATCTCCTAAAGAAAAGAAACAAAAAAATGGCCAACATAATAAATCAGAATTAAATGTTCAATGTTTGGTGGTAGCTATTATTTATTTGTAATACATCCTCTCAATATAATATGCCCAGGATACATGCCTGTTACAATTTATCAGAAACCATTGGCACAAACACCTGTGAGTGTGCCACTATTGGACAGGGAATTACTCCACTGACCTGCCTCCAACGGATTTTAAGAAAAAAGATAGAAATTTACAGAGGGACAGATTACTGCTATGTACATTAGTTGTTCACAACTCAGAACAATGCTACCTATGCTCTTAATATCACCTAGGGGAAAATGAGTTTTGGGGACACAGGAGGGGGACAGTAGAGGAAATGGTGGGGGGCAGATGAGAACAAGTGGATGATCAGCTGGACTGGGTCTGAATGAAGTTTCACATGCATAATTTTACAAAATGAGATTAATTACATTTTTTGAAATTTTGAACTTCTGCGAACCCCCTGAAACCCATATACAAATTTTACACATTTGGAATAGATTGCTTAAGCTTTCATCGCCAGAAATAGATTACTTTGTCTGGGAATAGTTGCACTGACCTAATACAAGTCTCCGTAGATGATATCAACCTACAAAATTGTAAAACTAATATTTTTTTGAAAATTTAATATTTTAATAAAAATGACATGTATGCCATTGTGCACCATCCATACAAAAAGGAAAAAAATTGAAACAGATTGTGAAAATATTGTCAATGCATTTGTTGAAAATTGTCACCATTTAATTAAATATTTCGAGAAAAATGGTTTCGTAAAACTGTACATATTATTTGAAGATCAATTCATGACAAGGGGTTCCTTTAGGGAAAAACAAACAAACTACTTAACTGGAACTTTGCAGGAGAGAGTAAAAACATTTTACTATTAACCCTGCTTCCTCCATCTATCTACTGATCTTGGGCACTCTGACATAAAATTTCACCATTTATAAAATTAACCTTGAAAACCTTGAAGTAAGTAACATAATTGTATTCTACTATGCCAGAAAATTACCAATGCATCATAAACAACGAAGATTGTTAATAAAAAAATTGTATTGTACAAAACTCACCGCACTGAGCCATCCAAAGCTTTCTCAGCCAAAGCAACAAAAGTTGTAGAAGATGAGTTTCTAGGCTTTGTCCTTACAATGCCAGTTGAAAAGTGTGGATGATGATGCACAGTGGATGTGGGCATATCACTCACTATTGCACTTGATGAAACAGCATTTGAATTAAAAGTTGGCAGACTACTTGTGTTGCTTCTTGAAATACTGGATGAATCTTTCATAATATCTACAACAAATTTGCAATTTAAATACACCTGAACTGTGCTACATTGCATTCTTCCATCCCTTCTAATTTTAATTTTGGGAATTGATTAAGCAATCACCACTTAACATTCACTAACATTCTCACTCGTTTTTCAGTAAAAGAATTGAGCACTGAACAAAGGAAAAATATTATTTAGTTGTTAGTTAGGACTAGCAATTTCTGACCATAAATTAGGATACTGTTAAATAATAGGAATTAAGTTAAAAATCAATGACCTTTTGCTGTAGAAAAGTTAATTTTTTTTAAGGTGTTTGGTTTTTGATGATTATGTGTACACAATTAGTAACACATTACATGAATAGAATAGGAGGGGAAAAAAACACAAACACAAACACACACACAAACAAACAAACACACAAACAAACACACACACAAACAAACACACACAAACAAACACACAAACAAACACACACAAACAAACAAACACAAACAAACACACACACACAAACACACACACACAAAAACACACACACACACACACAAAAACACACACACACACACACAAAAACACACACACACACACAAAAACACACACACACACACAAACACACACACACCAACAACACTGCTTTTTATTCACTTTACAATTATAATTTAATTTTTTATTATGGAAATTAGGCGATGCAATAAATTAAAAACTTTTTAGTGACAATATTAATTTCAGAGCTGGTGTCCACTGAATCATTCAGAATGAAAGATACCATAATGTATCAACCACGATACAGAATTTATAACAAAGTAAACAAGCTAATATCTTGAATACCTACTCCCTACCACCGTGGTCCAAAAATCCCTGAAGTTGAAAATTAAGAAAATGTAAGGTTTTTCAAGACTTCATTTCATACAAGACAAATAAAAATGAAAAAACACAGACCTGAATTTACAGACTGATCTTTTCCAGAAAGTCCACTGTTCACCAGAGCTTGCTGCAAAATGTCGGAATCAGTTTGTGAGGTAATTTTTTCAGTCTTATCTTCTATTTTTATAGAATCTGTAGGTCCTGTCACACCTGTACTTATATCTAAATTCACATTCATTAATTCTGGCTCTTCCAAATTTTCTGAATTCACCTGCAAGAACAATTAAAAATAAACATGTATAAAGGTTAAAAACTCTTGTATTCAATGCAATATAAACCCACGAAGAGGAAGAATTTCACCTTGTGAGCATCAGAAGCATAATGCATACGACTCATGTGTGCATTAAGACTGCCAAGTTTCTTAAAGACACAAGTACATTCAGAACATTTGTAAACTTGTTCACCTGAATGAGGAATTGTGTGAACCCTAAGAATGTGTGCCCGAAGGTTACCTGAAAAACCAAAAGCAACTTATGAAACATGAAAAAAATTTAAGTCAGTAGAATTAGGTAAGTTTCTAAGTGTATGTTTCTGCTAAAACGTAAGTTATAAAACCTTTTTGACTAAATGCAGCAGCACAGAAGTCACAACGAAATGGCTTAATTCCATTGTGTTTAGACATATGAATTTGAAGAGAGCCTTTTTGATTGAATGCCCGAGGACATAAAGCACACTGAAAAGACGAAGAGTCAAATTGATATCAAGGCAATAAGGTAGAGCATTTAATTTTAGTTCTATGTAGTAAATTCATTTAAAAAGCGATATATTTAGAAATATATTAGTACCTTGAATGGTCTTTCACCAGTATGAATTCTCTTGTGACGAACTAATTGGCTAGGTTTTTGAAAACACTTGGCACACGTATCACACTTGTGAATGAAAGTACTTCGATCAATGTTTCTTTTATGACTTTTATGTGATAATGAGGCTTTGACCTAGAAAGAAACAATAAGAAATTATCTTTCATTACGTACCATTGGAATGAGTAAATTAGTAAAAAACCAAACATAACACAAGACAGTAAAATTGCCTTCTTTATAAATAAGGGCCACTTATGTCAAAATTAATACTCTTGCCAATGATTAATAACAGGGAATTAGATTAATTTTACATCTATTGCTTTCATCACAATGCACGATGTTAAGTTACTATCTAAACAACTTTAGTAACAAAATTCAAAATCAAAGTTTACGAAGAGTGGTTAAAGTGGACTTACATCACTGATATTAATGCTAAAAGACTTCAGCAACACTTTGAAATTCAAAAGTATTCTACAACTTCACAATATAATCATGACACTATTTTAAGGAATTAAAAATACTTTTCATAAGTCTACAACAAAATCACTAAATGTAAAACTTGAAAAATATTGAAGATGTGTTCTCTTCCGTATTTCATGTACTGAATATATTGAGTACATGGTTGGACAGCATTAAGACAACAATTCTAGACATTCTTTCTCTCTTTTACTACTACTTAATGAGCTGCTTTAATGTTTGATACACAGGAGAAATTGATATTAAAATCACGAAGAAATTGGTGAATTTATGTGCACAATATATTTGGGGTTTTATAACTTACCACACAATTTAAGTGAATGTGCTGTCACACACATTCATTTCAATGAAAATTTTTTGAAGCAGGAGAAAGTGTAAAAACAATTTATGACAAAGAATTCTGCTAATTATCAAGGTCTTAGGAATTTTTTGTGACACAGATACTGATTATGAAATCTGTCCATTTCCATTTTAATATTTTAAGTATATCTTGAAACATTTACTTATACTTTTAAAAATCAATTTAAAAAAATGGAAATGGAAATTTCCTTTACCATGAGAGCAAAAAATTATTGGCAATTCTAATCAAATAATAATTCATGCTACGGGGGCATGTATAACTGTCTACTACACCCAACACTTAACGAACTATTTCATTGTATTAAATAGCCCTTAAATTTGAATGGACAACACTATTTTCAAAGAATGTTTCTGAAATTTGTGATTGAACTGTGAAGTACAAGTTACCTTGTAATGCTCTTTCATATGATCCCGAAGAAATGTTGCTCTTGAGAAGTGTTGATGGCACTGTCTACATTGATAGAGTTTAGAAGTAGGTGTTTTGGTCCAGTCTTCTTGGTGTTCTTTAGCATGTATATCCAGCTGAGCCTGTATTATTTTCAATAATTAAAATTATTTAGTTACATTCAAAAACAAAAAAATAAAATTTCATTCACTGATATGCAGATAGAGTCTGTTATGAAAACGTTAAGTAACAAACTGTGGGGCCTGGTTTTTAGGATTTTACAAATGTAATTTTAGGCCTTTTCAAAAGTCGATTCAGCCCCTTTTAGGTTCTTATATTTATTTTTCTTTAATCATTTTAGTACATAATATTTAAATACCTATCTCATTTTATTCACAGCTTTACTTCTGACCTGTTCTATTCTCTATTATGTAGTATTGTAGGTTATCACAAACATTAACAAAAACAAAGAAAACAACATACAATTTAATAATAATTTTTCAACTTCTAAAAAACATTCAAACCAAATTCAAACTTAACATTAGCATTCAAACCAAAAATTACCTTTAAGATGTAATGGACAATCATGAACAATCCTCAAACGTTTCACGAGAAGGACCTCCTATTGTCTCTCAACGCACATTTGAAACAAGAAAGGTTTGTCCAACACATAAAATCAATAGTGCTAGCTTCAAAAATTCCAATGCTTTCAGTCTGTGAGGTAATTATCCAAATATTTCACCTCCAAGAAAAATTACATTTGTCTTATCTTTGTGTAACCATGATTACATTGGATTTTCGTTGGATTTAAGGTGGAGTATTGACAAGAATACAACACCTATAGTCCTGAGTACTTCCATCCACAAAACAGCTTAAATGAGTTCATTGCTTCATATAGTAGAAGATATGCATATTAATCTAAATAGAATCAATATAGTCAGCAATGTTAGATTCTGAGTCTAGGTCACCGTAAATTCCATTTCATCAAGATTAGTTTTGTTAAGTCAACTTTGCATGTTTTCAAGAAATTCCGATTTGGTCTTTCTTTTTTAAAGGATAACTCATTTTAGCCATTTTTATGGTCTACAGGATTCTTGAAATTGAGTCAGAAACATTTGAAACTGATGTTTATTAAAATAACGACATTAAGAAGGCACAAGATAATTTAAAACCTACGAATCTGGGTCCTAATCATCAACTACTATTGTGTTATATCCAAAAAAATTCCATACCTGCGTGCTGAATTCATCCCCACATTCTGGACAGAAAAGACTTTCTTCTCTTTCATGTAACATTATATGGGCTTTTAAACTTGCCATCCTAGAGAATTTTTTATTACATTCTGGACATGATGGATTTTCTGTATTGTGTGTGACCAGATGAAGAGTTAAATTATGCTTTAAAACAAACAAAAAAATTCACATGAAAAGAACTGTTGATTCGGATTTCTTTTATCCTTATTTAACGATTTCATGAAATACCTCAACATTGAAAGACGCTGGGCATTCTGGACATGTAAATGGTTTATCATCGGAATGCAGTTTGAGATGCTTCTTCATTTGGGACCATTTTGAAAACTCTTTGCCACATACTTCACAACAGTATGGGCCCTAAAAACAAACGATTAAAAATTAAAACAATTTTCATAATAAAAAATTTCTCACTTCAGAAGCTTTTTAACATTTACAAGAACCCACAAACATCTCGGATACTAAGAAATTTCATAAAATTTGACCACCACAAATCTTTGGCACATTATATAGTTGTCATGACTACTTAACCTATGTATTTCTCTAACAGTTACTAAAATTTGGACTATAATCTGGGACAAGGTCCTGAAATTATGACTGGCAGAAGCAAGTACTTCTAAAATTTGTTGTTCTTTCTTTCTTTCTGTTTCTTTTAATACATAAAGGACCTTTTTAGATACTGCTGAAGATTTATTCCAAAATTTCCATTAGTGATGTTTCAAAACTGCTTGGTTCACAACTAAATTTATTGCCAGTGTAGTGCAGCAAAACATTTCAGGCATTGAGAATACAAAAACAGGGAGCAGAGCGACAGAAATACGCATATGTCAAAAGTTCAAGAAAAGCTGAATATTAAATTAAGAATAATAAAAACACCGTTTTCAAATACAGAGGTGACCAGATTACTACACTAAAATTTCACCCCCAGGCTTAATGGATGATGTACGTTCTGAGATACATCTGACAAAAGTAATGGTTTGAAATGTGATGTCTGTTCATGGGTACTAAAAATGTATACATAGTTAATAGTATAATTAGTCATAACTGATACATAAGGTTCTATGTTACACAAAGAATCATTCGTAATCATGCATGGTGTCACTCCATGTCACAATAATAAAGGAAGTTGGAAAATATCTTATAGACATATAAGTCTGCACTCCAATGGGCTACAAATATGAATCACATATACATATCCCATCCCCTGATAAGAATCCTATAGAAAATGTTTGATCTATAGTTAAAAAAAAATAAAAAAAATGAAAAAACCCAGAAAAACTAGCTCATGTAACAACTCTCTCTCGCATCTGGCAAAATGCCCTTGAAATTGAAAGAATGGATTAAAAATTGATTTCCAATATTCCTTCTAATAAATATGGTATTAATGAATAAGGGCATATTTATGAAATATTAGAACCATGTAAATCCAGTTTATTGTCAAGATCCATGGTCGCAAATACAGTTTGTTCCATTCAATACCTCTAGCCTAATAATTTGGCCACTTCTAAGAATAAAATTACAAAATTCCTATTTTATTTACAAAGAAATATTTAGAACTCTTTGAAGCAAGGAACAAAAAATATACATTGTATTGATCACACGGAAAACTGAAAAAATAATATATAAAGCATGAGTTATGATAAACTTCAAAAACTTTTCCACTTACTTTCCCAATAGGAGGTTCAACTTCTAATTCTTCTCTCCTGGGTCGCCCAGGACCTCTTTTTTGCTTGGGCTCAGGTACTAATGACTGTGAGAATTGAGGCGAGATTGTGTTAGCTAAATTCAGCGATAAATGAGTGTTACTATTTCCTGAGGTTTGAAGATGAGAAGTCTGGTCCATATGTACTGAGAGAACATCATCTCCACTTGTAAGACCACTTAAATCTACTGTTTCTATACCTATGCCCATATCTGGAAGAATACTGTTCTTTGGAACAAGTTTATCTTTAGACAATAAATCATCTGAAAGAATAATTGGATTTCCTTCATCAGTGAGATCTGCTCCATTTAACACAAGTTGACTAGTTCCTCCTGTAAGCAACGCCAACTGAAACAAATTGAATTTTGATATTCATAATTAAATATTACAACAATAACAAAAAATACAAAATAAGAATTTAAATTACCTGACTAGCATCAAGAAGAATTGTATTTCCTGTGAGTGTTTTCAGTAAAAAGTTTTGAGATACTGCTCCTACATCATTTACAGAATTATTGATCATTGAATACAGTGGTAATGTGATATATGTGGTACCATCTTCAAGCCTGGAGTCTGAACATACAGAAATGTATTTAAGAAATGAGTCTATTCAAGCTAGAGAAAAAAAAAAAAGGACCATACACATGTATACCTGATTGATTCAACAAAGTGCTTTCACTTGAGAATACAAGATCTGTATTTTCTAAAATTGAATTGCTTGAGAGGGTCACCGCTGAAGGATTGGTGGAAATTTCTCCTGACGCTTGCCCTTCCATATTAATTCTTTAAACCACCGCAAATCTTTTTCTCGATGATACAAACGTTTATTAACAGCATGCACTGAAAGAAAAAAATAATATATATATACTCATGTTAACAACGTCTACAACTACATGCACATCATCTTATCTCAAAACAACTTAAACATTCTTTACTCGTTAACAATTTTGACAGTATCATCCCCGAACATGGTTTACAATCTAATGTCAAATTTGAGGTTAAGACCACGAACTCGAAAACAAAAACGGACAAAGCAGTCATTGTGTGGTCCAGAGGTAGAACACGCATTCCTTTTTAAATTACACAAATCCTCATGGATCACCAAATGAACACTACACAAACTGTTCCAAACATGGATATGATATCAACAGTAGAGCGGGCAGCTTCATTCATATTTTCATTTTGGCGTAAGAAGGATCGGCCTACTTTACAGTATCATTCCGCCCCACGAAAAACACTTAGGACCAAGCCCAACAAGCAAAGTAACACAATATCATGACATAGACAAAATGTTCAAAACATATTAATGTTATATACATTAACACAGTTGTATTAGCAATACTTATCATATCAACTCCACTAACTTTCAAGTCATTTTATTCTGACATTCCACAATCATGGCGGATCAGGAAAATATTCGGAACTCCTCCCAGCAACCCTCGCGATTGAAAAAGTACGGGTTTACTCTGTACTCACTGCTCATAGATGGCATGGCACGTTATAAATAATCTACTGCCATCTGGCGGACACAAAAATAACTGTAAATCAGATCGCGCGAAGAATGCTTCAAATCGGTGCCGAAAAATTGCCAGGCAAAATATGTGCCGTACGTGTTACCTTAAAAAAGAAGACAATGTATTATTTTTATAAGTCTACCTTCAGAATTATGCCGAGCTTTAAATAATGAAATTAATTTTTTCACTCATCAAGCAAGAAAAATTGAAAAGACACTTTTTCAAGGTAGGTACGTTTCGTGTACTTTTTGCTTATCAATTTCAGGCAGTTCAAGCATTTATTTTCTTGACCTGAAAAAATGTTCAAAGTGTAGTTGTTTTTTAAGACAGAAACTGTCATTGTATATTTCTTTTTTCAAAGAGTTTGATTATTTTTATTTATTTATTTAAGTAGCGATATGTGCAATCAGTGCACGTCTTCTTGAGCTCTGGGATACCTTACCCTCTTCCTAACCATATTAAAATGAATTTTGAATATAAGTTGCAATGAAAAAAAGAGCTATATATTTTGGCTATTATCCCTCTTCGTGCGCTACATGAAGGAATCGACTTACTGCCATAAGAAATTGGGAATGATTATTTGAATAACTAATTATATTCTCCAAGGCTAAAGAAAAAAAATGCACAGATAGCGAAACATTTATGTTCATAAGCAAAACAAGAAGGCATGTCTACATTTGCTCAAAGGATAGGGAAACTGGCCGAAAAACCTAACGGATGGGAGTCATTGACCCAGATGCTGAGATACAATGCTTGTTACAGGTATATTGAGTCTTTTAAAATTGTATCGTTCAAATAGTAAATACATTAATATTCTTTGTTAAAATCAACATTATTTTCCTTTTTGATAATCAGAATAGTCTCTAATTGTATAGAAACAGTTAGGCAGAGGAATAGTTATTTATGCACCGAGGGCGTTATAAGGGTTCTAATTCTTACTTAGCACTTAAACTTGTGTATTGACTTTAATCGTTTAATGCCATCTGGTTATGTGTTGTAAAATAAAGTACATTGTGTGTGTTTTATTCGAATTGAGCCATGGTTACGGACACCTGATGAAGGTGATTACTACTTCGAGAGTTATAATTATAGACACGCGTATTTAATGAAAATATGATTCCATTCTTCAGTAAGTCACTTTTGACGTTCACTGATTCGTAAATCAAGAGACAAGGCAATGATAGATTTCTCAACTGAATAAAGAGCGGTTTACAAGAATCACGTGAGTGCAATTTTTTTCGTTCAATTCATTTTAGTAATCCAAAAGACTGGGAGCTATAGTATGTGTTTCTCTAGAATACCGTATGTCAAGCGGAAATTAACATTTTCGAAATATACACAACGAGTAATATGAAGGCTGACTGAATTCGAAAGAATTATGAATGCGTAGCATAATGAACCTAATTTTGTGTTCGATTCATGTAAATTGATGTTTCATTTGAAGTTTGACTGAATTGAGAGACCCAAAAATTATGTTACCGTAACATTAGTCATTTGCATATCGTTTATTAACAATGGATTATACAATTGTTTATTTGAAACGGAAAACTGCATTGAAACATTTTCCCTTCCCCAAGAGAATTGTTCTTCCGCTTCGAATCGACGAGGGCGTATCGTTTACTTGTAGTAAGAAGGTAATAGGGCCTAAAATTGATCTCTGAGTCACCCCATGTGCAATTAGCAATCGGAAAAGTGAGAAAATAATGTCCACACATTCCAGTGCGGTATTTCTACTATCTGAAATCTTTGTTTAAGGTTCGAACACAACCAATCTAGAGCAGATACAGGAATTCCATACGACGGTAATTTTGAAAGTGAAATAATATAATTAATGACGGTCTGCAAAACCTTTTGTTCGTGTGTGATGTTATGTTAAGTGAAAAAATAACACAACTTCGAACTTTTGTAAAAACTAATATAATTCACGTGCGAAAATTATTATTACATTCATTTTAACTATTGCTTTTCACGTACACGAATGCAAATATGAAGTGAAGTATCTTTTAAATACTAAGCTTGGAATAAAATGTTAAAAATGTCTGTTATTAGGGCATAGAAAGTAAACCTAGTGTATCCTCGGCATATCTAGTTGACACCTATATCACGTTTTAAGGCTCTAAAAAGCATCGTTTCTAAGTTATGTTCGATAATGGTGTGTTGCAGCGTGTTACATCCATACGATATTATTTTAATTTAATATATTCGTATATATATATATATATATATATATATATATATATATATATATATATATGTATACACACATTTTTGTTTTGTGCACTCCTTCATGCTTGCATTATGCTTAAAAAGGGGGTTCAACGTTTTTCTTCGTTCGCTCTAATATATACTATAGATTTCAGTAGATGCTTTACTTTGATCCATTGATGAAGTGACATCTTTAAGAAAATAAAATTTGACTTTCCGTGATTTCATGATTACTGGTAAATCGAGATTTCAGAATCAGTGAGAGTTCTTTAGATTTTGATGTTCTAAATGCAAGTTAGCAATCTGAAAACGTTTTGTTATCACTGAGAAAGTTTTCCAAGCACAGAAAACTTTCTCTAATATTACAAATAAAAAAAAATGACAAAAGAGAAATTGCCATTGGAAAAAGAGCTCTGTTCAACAGTGGTGTTATTAAAAATGTACAATTTCAGCTAATTTTTAAGTATTTTTATATGCTGATTCTAAAAATGAAATCAGAAATGTTTCATCACCCACCATTTGTTTGTAATATCAAAATGAAATACTTGTGTTCATTGTTTTCATGTGTTCATTGTTTTAAGTTGTGTTATTCGACAACATCGAGAAGAGTTGTCAGTAAAATAATTACTCCATTACGATTATGTTTAATTTTCTCCTCTCTCACACTCCCTAAACATCTTTACGAATACTGCTCTTTCGGCAAGGAATCTCATGTTTTCTGCTAGATTAGACGTGTCTCCATATCACTGATATTTTTAAGCATGCTACAACTTCATCTGGGCGCGTCCCTCTATTGACAACAAATTGTATGTTTCTAAAATCTTT